CATGTTGTGAATTTTACAGCCAGAATCTGATACTGCTACGAGATTCCACATTCTTACAAGGGCTCCAGGCTCACCCTCTTCTAATACTAGCACCTTCTAACCTAAACAATGTCATTTATTGTACTCATTTAGTGCTTCTTTTTACACCAGGGAAAGGGCAACAATCTGGTTTATGTTATTTGTCTCCTTCTCATTTGGGGTCATTAGGTTGCTTTAGTTCTTCTGCTCTAATACACATTTCAGAACTATATGGAAAAGGTAGGATATTACTTGTTTCCCACATTCCTCCATTTCCTTCCTCTGGAGGTAGACAATGTGATAAGAGAAGGCCAAAATAAGGTGCATATCACCCTGGGACTCTATCCAAATAAGTTTTACATAGTTGATGGCAGGAACTACAAATAGTACAACAAGCATCACAATAAGAAAGTGCACATAGATGGTTTTCAAGGATAGCCCCATGTAAATCAAATTATAGCAATCTAATCAAAAGATGACAAGGCACTAATAACTGTCTTCAGAAAATCATGTTCCTGTTACGCTATACAGAAGCCATTTTAGTTAAGTCTCTGTCTGCTCTGTGAGAGGCCAGGAGGACTTCAGATTGAAACTTGGTCTTTCCAAGGAAAGAGATGCCCATCATAGAGCCATAGATGGCACAGTCCTGAATATCTGTTTTCTCCATCCAAATCCTGAACACCTCCAGATTATGATTTTTATCACCCCTCCCAGCGAGGGGTGTTATTTATCCACCAATTTGGAGTGAAGTATCATCAATAAACACATGATAAACTGTTTATCATGTGTTTATTGATGATACTTCACTCCAAATTGGTGGCTATATATAAATAACACAGGATATAAATACAATTAATAATTAAAAGCATTTTAAATTAACTTGTAATGTTATTGTAAATATGTTAAGTAATTTTGCAGTACATGTTGAATTAAAAGAGCATTATTTTAAAATATGTTTTCAGATACTGTAGATGGCCTCTTCCATATGCGCACAATCATGACAGATCCATTTTTATGGAACATATTGGAACACATGTAAAATATTCTACAGCCCTCTAAGTGTAGACATCCACTTAAAACTCTCCAGTTTACAGTAAAAGGCTTTTGACTAAATAGATAATGTCAATCTGGAAGCATCCATCAAAGAATTTAAACTTAAGAAGACAGGTTTAAGATACAGAACACTGGGCGCTATCTAACAAAATGAAATTCAATGGTGAAAAAGCAAGGTTCTACATTTAGACAAGAAAAACCAAATGCATAGGTATAATATAAGAGATACCTTGCTCAATAGTAGTAACTGTGAGAGGGACCTCGGAGTCCTAGTGGACAATCACTAAATAGTGTGCTGCAGCTGCCAAAAACGCCAACACAATGCTATGCTGCATTAACAGAGGGATAGAATCAAGATCACGTGAAGTGTTAATACCACTTTACAATGCCTTGGTAAGGCCACACTTGGAATACTGCATCCAGTTTTGGTCACCGCAATGTAAAAAAGATTGAGACTCTAGAAAGAGTACAGAGAAAAGCAACAAAGATGATTAGGGGACTGGAGGCTAAAACATATAAGGAACGGTTGCTGGAATTGGGTATGTCTAGTTTAACAAAGAGAAGGATGAGGGGGGACATGATAGCAGTATTCCAATATCTCAGGGGCTGCCACAAAGAAGAGGGAGTCAAGCTATTTTCCAAAGCGCCTGAAGGCAGGACAAGAACTAACCAAAGAGAGAAGCAACCTAGAACTAAGGAGAAACTTCCTGACAGTTAGAATAATTAACCAGTGGAACAACCTGCCTCCAGAAGAGGTGAATGCTCCAACACTGGAAGTTTTTAAGAAGAAACTGGACAGCCATTTGTCCAAAATGGTATAGGGTTTCCTGCCTGAGCAAGGGGTTGGACTAGATGACCTCCAAGGTCCCTTCCAACTTTATCATTATTATTATTATTAAATCACAATCAAAATGAAGTAATTTAGAGAAAAATTCTATCTATTAACATATCTACATTCTACATATTAATCTCCCCAAACAAACATGCATATAATCTGTCCAATAACTGAAGTGCTCTGGGAGTATTACCAAGAGTGCTTTCAGATGATAAACTTTTCCATTAGACAAAGGCATTCTAAGTAAAATAACCATATCACCATGTGATGGCAGCAGTCTCTACAAGCACCTTGTAATATACTTCAGTATGGCTAGCTTACTTGAGGCACTTAATAGTTTTTGGAAAGTAATTATTTAAATAATATTTTAAAATTAATTTTCCCAATTCAGTATTTCTTAAATTTATATAGGAGTATTCTATAATCCATAATAATAATAATAATAATAATAATAACAACAACAACAACAACTTAACTTGTATTTCTATACTGTTTTTTTATGGAACTATTTTTGATAGGTTGGTCTGTTTTTTCCTTTTGTGTAAAGACAGATGCAAAAAACGAGTTAAATAGTTCTGCTTTCTCCCTATTGCTTGTCACCTTCTTGCCACTTTCGCCCACTAATGGACCAATCATTTCCTTCACTTTTTTCTTGTTTTTTACATCTTGAAAGAAGCTTTTTTTTTGTTATTTTTGACTTGGTCGCAAGCCTTAGTTCATCATGAGCCTTAGCTTTCCTCACTTCATCTTTGCAGACTTGGGCTATTTGTTGATATTCTGATTTAGTTATGTGCCCCTCTTTCCACTTTCTATACTTGTCCTTTTTATCTTTCAATTGATCAGAGAGTTCCTTATGCAGCCATGCTGGTTTCTTTTGAGAACTATTATTTTTCCTCTTTGTTGGTATTGTGCTAGACTGGGCTTCTATTATCTCGCTTTTCAGAATTTCCCAAGCTTCTTGAGTTGTTTTCCCCTGGAGGCTTCTCATCCATGGAATTCTTCCCAAGCACTCTCTAACTTTATTGAAATTAGCTCTCTTGAAGTCCAAGACTCTAGTTTTGACTATCTTCTATTGTTTATGCTTCCATAATGTTGAATTCCAATACTGCATGATCATTACCTCCCAAGGTTCCTGTGGCTTCAACACCTTCTATTATTTCATCTCTGTTAGTGAGCATCACCACCAGATAGATTAGTAACTTGCTGACCAACTGCATTCAACATGCAGTCCTTAATGGAACAGCCTCTACAGTACATGGAGGCAAGTATGCAGTGGGGTACCCCAAGGTTCTGTCTTAGGCCAAGTATACTTCAATATCTTCATAAACGATTTAGATGAAGGGATAGAAGGGGAACTTATCAAATTTGCAGATGACACCAAGATGGCAGGAATAGCCAACACTCCAGAAGATAGGCTCAAGATATAGAAAGCTCTCAACAGACTTGAACACTGGGCTCTATCTAACAAAATGAAATTCAGTGGTGGGGAAATAAAGTTTTACATTTAGGCAAGAAAAACCAATTGCATAAGTATTGTTGAAAGAAAAATCATTATGTCCAGTCCAAGCCAGGAATAAATAAAATGGAGGCTGTTTGTAAAGAAGATTCTTGTTTATTTAGTTGCCAGAAACTTCAGTGATTTCAGCATGTTTCTGAGGTAGCTGACAAAATGAACCTGGGAGTGGGTGGTTTTTTCATATCTTTTTGGAGTTTTGTGTCTGGAGTTTTTCCTGATTCTGTGCAATGTATTTTGACCTGAGCTTGAGTTTGCCCTTTTGGTATTCTAATGATGGTGGGTTAATCCTATTATGTCCTAAAAGTCATGTTCTTGTCATTGGAGTCCTTGTTTTGCCAATTTCCTCAGCTCCAGCCTTCCTGGAGTTGTGACTGAAGGCATTTTGCTTATGAATAGGTGGCCCCAAATCTCCATTTCTAAAAGCTGGCCTGCCTGGTTTCTGCCTGGAGAAACTTGGGTTGGTTTCTGCCTCCCCTAAGATTTTTTTTTCCTCCATTACTCCTTTGGGAAAATATAATATTCTGTCTTTTTTAATATCCCCCAAAATATTTCCTTCCCTGGGGGGGTGCTGACTTCCAATGGTATAGAATAGGCAGTATGTGGCTCAATAGTAGTAATTGTGAGAAGGATCTAAGAGTACTTATGGATAATCACTGAAATATGAGCCAGCAGTGTGCTGCAGCCACCAAAAAAAGATAATTCAGTCCTAGGCTGCATTAACAGAGGGATAGAATCAAGATCATTGAAGTATTAGTATCACTTATAATGCCTTGGTAAGATCGCCCTTGGAATATTGCATCCAGTTTTGGTCTCCACGATATAAAAAAGATGTTGATACTCTAGAACAGGGATGTCAAACTTGCAACGTTACGTAACATGTTGCAACATATGGTAACTTTTTTTCCATTGCTGGCAATAGGGTGGGCACAGTTTCACCATGATGCATCCGGCCCGGGCCGGCAGTTTGACATCCCTGCTCTAGAAAAAGTGCAGAGAAGAGCAACAAAGAGGATTAGAGGCTAAAACATACAATGAAAGATAGGAATTGGGTATGTGTAATCTAACGAAAAGGACTGGGGTGACATGATAGCAGTGTTCCAATATATGAGGGGTTGCCACAAGGAAGAGGGAGTCAACCTACACTCCAAAGTACCTGAAGGCAAGAAGCATTGGATAGAAACTAATCAAGGAGAAAACCAACCTAGAAATAAGGAGAAATTTCCTAAAAGTTAGAACAGCTTGCTTCCAAATGTTGTGCACGCTCCTTTGCTGGATGTTTTTAAGAAGAGATAGGACAGCCATTTGTCTGAAATGGCATAGGGTCTCCTGCTTGAGCAAAGGACCCTCCAAGGTCCTTGCAACTCTGTTATTCTGTTAATTCTCTTAGTTCACTTTTTGGGTACTTAGAATCACCCATGGGGTGGGAGAGTAGAGAAGAAGGAATTGCGTTGGCGAGGTTCCCACCTGTTAGATTTCGGAATATTTTTTTTCCAGATATCTACCGATTCCATTTCTACCCTTTTTCTAACGCGCGCAACGTATGACTCGATTCACGCATTTCTCCCGGCACTAGAGTTGCTGCTTCCGCACGTGCCTCCTTCCTTGAGCCCAACGAGCTTGTTGGGTGCTGTTCCAGTGGCTATTTACACGCCCCGCGCTGGAGGAAGGCGGTGCCTCCACTTTCCTTCCCCTCTTTTGGAACTGATGTGCTTTAGAAAGATGAGGGCGGGGCGGGAAAGGGGAATCTAAGCTTCGCTTGTCCACTGGGAGAAATCCACCACTTCATTTGGAAGGCCGTGAGGAGAATCGCACCCGGTGGAGAATCTGCTAGGCTCTCTCTTGACTTGATTGAGTGCGTCTCTCTCTCTCCTTTTCGCGAAGGGCCCCTCCCGCCCTTTCTGAAGAGGCGCTTCCACCCAGCGCCCACATAGCAATCCCTAAACAGGCTGCGAGATATAAAAGGCCCGACGGGATCTGCCGAGGGGAGCGACGCGTCTTCTGAAGGCGGCGGGCCGAAGCCTAAGCTGGAGAGAATCATGCTCAGGACGGCGCTTGGGAACTCCCGCTCCCTCGCTCTCCGCAGCTACACGGATGGACTGAGCCTACCCTAGCCCGAGGAAGCATGGCGAGGGTCCCCGGCCGCCGATCCTGGGCTCCGGTAGCCTTGCTGGCCCTGTTCACAGAGCTGGCGTCGAGCCACCCACAATGCCTGGACTTCAAACCGCCTTTCAAGCCTCCTCGCCCGCTCACTTTCTGCGTGCAATATTCAAACTTTGGCTGCTGCGATGCTGGGCGTGATGCTGTCCTGTTGGAACGTTACTATCGCATCAGCGAGCATTTTGACCAGGCCACCTACACCGCTTGCGCCAGCCACCTGCAGAACCTCCTGTGCCAGGTGAGGTGGGGGGAAGGGGGCCGGGCGCGGGCCAGATCTCCTCTTCCCACTATATCACCACCACCTGCATCCATCCATCTCTTCTTTCTTAGTCAGTTTGGATGGTTCTGGCACTGTCCTTGCTCCACTGAAATAGCAAGATTGCCTGCATCCATTTCACTTTGAAGGTAGAGCCTGTATCTGCCTGCAGAAGGTCTCTTCCAAAGTTCAGTGTTGGGTATCGTTGAAACTTTTGGGCTGTCATCCTCAGTCTGCTGCCCTTGGGGTTTGTTGGACTTTAACTCCAAAAAGAGTGAGAGTTGTCCTGCATGCTATCTTGAAAGCATTTATTTGAAGACCGCTTGAAATAAAAAGTATGAAAAAGACCTTTGCTGTCAGTCAGAATACAAGACTAAATAGATAAAAGGTCACCTTGGGTAAGACAGATAATGTCCTAGACTCTCTGCTGCTGTTAAAGGGTGTCACCATTAGGGTGTCCTTCATTTTAATGTAGTTCAGCAGGTATTGCAACCCCTTCTCCTTATTTAGGCAAGATATTGTGCAATATCAGTTCACCAGATCACTATTTTCTGTTCTGTAGTTCCTCTTTTTTCTGTCAGCTTCCTATTTTTTATTAAAAGAAGCCTTTAAAAAGTTAAATGGAAAGGGGATCTGTTAAGAATCAAAGTGGATATCCAAGAACACCATGATACTTGTGGGCACTATGGTAGTTATCCTGGCATAACATAGCATTCAAGGCGTTCAAACCAGTCAGTCCTAGAGAAAATCAACCCTGACTGCTCTTTAGAAGGCCAGATCCTGAAGTTGAAACTCAAATACTTTGGCCACCTAATGAGAAGGAAGGACTCACTGGAGAAAGACCTAATGCTGGGAAAGATTGAGGGCAATAGAAGAAGGGGACGACAGAGAATGAGGTGGCTGGATGGAGTCACTGAAGCAATAGGCGTGAACTTAAATGAACTCCAGAAGATGGTAGAGGACAGGAAGACCTGGAGGAACGTTGTCCATGGAGTCGCGATGGGTCAGACACGACTTCGCAATTAACAACAACAGCATTCTTTCCCTCCTTTTACCTTTCAGTAATTTGGAGATTTTGTATAGCTACTTATGATGACTAGTAATCACTGATAAATTCTTTGTCCCAAAATTTCCCTTTAGGTGGGTGAAATTAATAATTTACTACCTGACATGTGCTTGCGCCACTTGATTTCCACAATACACATTGAAGACTGATCCTCTGTTCATCCCAGATGCTAATACTAGTGACATATTGGCTGTCTTCCATATAATATGTGTAAAAGTTGTTTGTAAAAGTTTCTGGACCAAGGGCTTGCAGATGCCTCTTATCTATGCCATAGATTAGTAAAATTATTTTATCTGTTCTTAAGACATGAGCTTTCCTCCAGCACCAGGTATACTGGACAGGTCTGAATGAATGAGCTGTGTGCTTATTTCTGTAAGATACTACCGATATATCTGGTGATTCACTATGCCTCCACCTTGTGCCTTTTCACTGTTCAGCAAGATCATCTTCCAACATTAAACAAAACAAACATTTTTTTAAAAAAAGTTTTTTATTTATAATAAAGCTAAAACAAAGATGGACATAATGTGACATTCCAGAATAAATATTCCTAACAATTTGTTCCTCTTAATATGTATAATTAATACATAATTCTTGATCTCTATATAAACATATTCTTCTATACAATACAGTTATATATACAGTTATATATAATTCTATCTTAACGCTGACTTAAAACCTGAGCAGTTCTCCTTGATTCACATCAGTAATAAAATTTGTCCCAGATCTCGAAATAGTCTGATTCTGTCTTATCCTTCATTTCCATTGTGAGCCTATCCATTTCAGCACACGATAAAAATTTAAATATAATCTCCTCTTCTGTTGGGATTCCTTTATTCCTCCAAACAAACATGATATAAATATTTATTTGCTTGAATTTCATTGTCCTACACATTTCTGAATTTGCCGAGAATTGCTTCCATTCAAATGCTACTGGCAGCTTTGTCTTATATTAGCAATATGATATGATTGGTTATGCCTTATCCCTTTTAAATGCAAGGTTTAAAAGGGCCTAGAATGATATAGCATATTTTCCTGGCTGTATCCTCAGACAACAGTCTTCCTACTCCAAGTATATAATTCAGTATTTCTATTAATTCCAATGTTTTTTTTAGAGAGAAATGGTTTGAGATGACTCACATAGCACATTCATTCAGACATGCCTGTATATAGTAGATATCTAGCTTTGAAGAATTTTGCTCAATAATTAAATATGAACAAGTATAATATTTGTGATTCATTTATTTAACCGTGTTCTCTTTAATTTTAGAACTTGTGTGGAAAAAATACCATGTTTCAGATCATATCTATACAGAAATATTGAAAATTCAAAAGGGTTCACAATTTTCAAACACTACTTTATAAACTAGGTCAATATCATTCCCTCTGTTTGTGATTTCAGGTTGGGAGGGACAAAACAGCAAGAAATCAGAAAATGCTGAGCTTTAGGAAGCCTTAAAATTTGAAATACTGTAGTACAAAGTCTTTAAAGGTGAAAACAACTTAAGGAGATAATCCTCCCAAATAACCTGATGAAGATCACCTAAGCTCAATTAGTCTGTACCATGGGCCACTATAGTTAAAATGTTGTTAGCAGCAATAAAAGTTACAGTTTGCTTAGAATGCATTTGTAAAGGAGAACTGAAAGCAGTAGTTTTCCACTAGGGGGAAATTATAGCAGTTTTCTAAGGTATATATGAGATGTGCCAAGTATACATAATAGATTAAACAAGTCACCCTTTCTTCTTCTTGTGCCATATCCGTTATCGGACGTTGGCGATCACCCTTTAGCAACGCAAATTATTCTATTCCAGCTGCTTTCACTCATTTCTTAAGGATAAGAAAAAATGGAATATTATACAATCATAGTTGTTTATCTTTCATCTTACTAATCAACCTAAAATTTTGTGAATAAAAAACTTCCTGGTCCTAGTGCCAGTGAGGTTTTGGGTCAATGAAACTCTTTACAGTTTTAAGTGAAATCAGATGTTATGCTGGATTCTTTCTTGCATCTTGTCCTTAACTAGCCCAGCTGTATACTTACTTCAGCCAATAGTATGACTAAAAAGATGACAAGAAGAAGCATTTGAATTTTAATAGTGAATGTTAAGTTTTTTTTTAATTTGTAATATAAAAATACAAAAATGGCACTCAGTATTGTCTTGCAAATCAAAAACCCAAATTCTCCCCTTCCATTTTTAAGTCTTTCTAGTTCTTTTTTTGTGGGGACAAAGATTTGTTATTTTCTCTTTGCAAATAGGCCCTAAAATTAGAGCTGCCATATCTGAGCTGCAAAAATGTGAACTACCACTAGGTGGTAAGCAAAAAATTAGTTTCATGTATCATTATGCTACCATCTACTGGTTGTCTGGTCCTTTGCAGCCCACATATAATAGTGTGATTTGTTACCAGTGTGTAATGAAAACACCAGTTATATTTCCAATATCAAGGGACAGAGTCCTAGGGTCTATGCAGCATTTTATTGCTTCTCAGAAATATAGGAGTAACTAAACTATAGAAAACAGACAAATAGATGCAAATTTGTACAATGCATAGAGCTTGCAGTATTTCATATTTTGTTCATGTGGATCTCATATGTATCAGATCTCATATGTATCACATGATAAAAGCTAAGTATATTTGCAATATGGTATGATATTTTTCCATGGTGATTTTTAGCTGTTTTCCCCATATATTTATTTACTAAGAGATATTAAGTGTTTTTTATATGATTGGATACTTTTATTCAAGATACCAGGTTTTTCTCTGAACCATATTTAGCTTATACTGGCTGAATGCATAATGGGAAAATAACAGTGGTGTCTACTAGTTTTGTTTTAGAGATTCAATTTGGTGAGCTGGTTAAAGACATTGGGCTAGAAACAGACCGTGAGTTCTAATCCTGCCTTAGACTTATACTTGGGCAGGGCCAGTCACTCTCAGCTCTAGGAAAAAAGTATAAGCAAGCTATTTCCAAAAGATGTTGCCAAGAAAACTGCATAGACTCTGGAGTTGCCCAGAGTAAATTTGGATTTGATGAATCATAACAACGTCTATCCTTGGGATATATGCTACAGTGTTTGAGCAAATACTCTGCAATACTTCTTGTATGAGTTCCCTATTTATTTATTTATTTGATTTTTATCCCACCTTTATTATTATAGTACTCCTTCCTCCTATTTTCCCCAAAAAACTATCCTGTGAAGAGGATTGGGCCAAGAGAAAGTAAAAAGCCTAAAGTCATCCAGCCAGTTTTTCATGCTTAAGTCTGGACTGGATTTCATGGTCCCCTGGTTCCTAGGCCAGCACCTTAACCATTAACTGGATAAGAGAGATTTATTTCTTCGTATTGGAAATGGACATTGTCTTGTAGTTAAAGGAAATTTTTATGACAATACAGTATGCAGTAACCATTCCAACATTACTTCCAGAGTTGTCCATGAACAAGAGAACAATAAGGGGATATTCCTAAGCTTTTCTAGGCAGATATTACCCTCAGCCCTTATGTAACTCTGTATTAGAACCAGCTGTAGAAATGTATTGGATTTTACTGAAGTTTAGCATAGGGTAAAGCAACTACTCAGTTTTTCTCCAACTATTTTCTACTTCTGCTTTATCTCAATGTGGCTAAACAGATGGCTAATAGACTTTCATTCTGAATATCAACATTCAAATCTAATTGCAAAAAAGCGCAGTGAAAAAAATGAGTAACTACTTTGTTTTTGCAGATACAGAGAGAAAATTTACGATGAAGACTATTCTAGGCACGTACTATTTTTGCAGTGACCTGGAAATAGTAGAAATCATAACACAGTTTATAATTTCTTTTTTAGTCCTTCACACTCTTTTTCATAGGTCTTTATGAAATTTATTCTGCAACTTTCTAAACTATTATAAAATACGTATTGTCTGTACAGTGCTATCATTTTAAATGTTTTAATTCTCTTGCATTGTTAAATCTTCCAACATTTAAGTAATGGTTATGCTGCCCTTTGCAGGCTCAGTTTTCTAAATACTGTAATATGGCAGACTTCTGATTGGCCCAGCTTATAGATAGACTGGATTTAATCTTAGATAGACTGGATTTAATCTTACTAAATGGCTGTGGTAGGGGAGACTTAAATGGGCAACTACCCTTCTGAGGCTCCAAAGGAACAAACGTGATTGATTATATTATGGGCCCACACACAGTACTTATGTCTAATAGCCAGAGTCAGATCATTTTATTTCAATACTGTACTGTTGAATGAAATTTCCCATTTTCCTAGTGCAGGTTTAGGTCAGTATTGAGAAGCACCTTCCACTCACCTATTTTGTCTAAAACAAGGCTGCTCTGATACTGAAGCATATGGGGGAGCCAAAACAACTGATGTGAGATCCTCTTTTATTTTTAGGAGTGTTCTCCATATGCTGCTCATTTGTATGATGCTGAAGACCCTTCTACTCCAGAGAGAACTGTTCCTGGACTTTGCCAAGATTACTGCATACAAGTGTGGCAAGACTGTAGGTCAATGTTCCATTACATCACTCCTGATAAAGAGTTACTGGCCCTGGAAAATAACAGGGTTAAGTTTTGTCGTTATTTGTCCTTAGACGACACAGACTACTGTTTTCCTCACCTCTTAACTAATCAGCATCTTAATCAAAACCTTGGATTAGTGACTGCTGATTCAGAAGGGTGTCTGCAGTTATGCTTAGTTGAAATTGCTAATGGGCTTAGGAATCCGGTTGCTATGGTACATGCAAACGATGGAACTCACAGATTCTTCATTGCAGAACAAATTGGTTTAGTCTGGACCTACCTTCCTGATCTCTCACGGCTTGAAAAACCATTTTTGAACATCAGCGAAGCTGTACTTACCTCACCTTGGGAAGGGGACGAGAGAGGATTCCTGGGTATTGTCTTCCATCCTAAATTCAAATTTAATGGTAAGGTATATGTCTACTATTCAGTTGAAGTTCAATATGAAGAGAGAATCCGAATCAGTGAGTTCAGAATTTCTCCTGGTGACATGAATTCAGTGGATCATGGTTCTGAAAGGTATGCCCCTTTACATGTCCAATGTATTTAAGACATTTAATGGCAAATATGAACACTACTTCTAAGGACTGGCAGTACTGCCTAAATTTAATATCTGCATATTTTAGTTGCTTGCGGTCTAATGCATATGTATACTAAAGTGTTCTTATTAAGAGGGCATTTTAAAAGAAGACATTATATGTGCTACATCTCAAGTGTAAATACTAAATACACTTCATATTATTTAAGTCCATATGTTTCTTAGGTACCTTTTGAATTCACCTTACCTCTAATCTGAGTAGCATATAATAATATCATTTATTGAGGAATAATTATTAGCCAGCTATTATCATAGTATAATCTTAGGCAATAAGATAAATATTGGAAAATGTAAAAAAATCCCTCATGGAAATTGAATTTATTTGCTTCTTACTAGAGCCACTAAAGATTCTTTCCTCACTGAACCACATTTGCTAATAATCCCCACAAGTAACTTTATTACAATATGTAGTTTGGTTAACATGGCTTCAGAATTTGGAGATATTTTTCTTTCCAATCTATTGCCTTCTAATGGGTGCTTAAGGGAAATGAGGTCCAGCTTTCTGGAAGTCACGTGCTTATGGAAGGCATACCCAGATTATTTGAGCCAGAGGCAACAAGTATTCAGTGAGTAAAATGCTCCATTTCACAAAGAAGTGAAAGACACAAAAGAATCTAGTAAATAGTTCCTATGCTGATATTACAAATTGTTTATCTGAACCATTGTGAATTCTGCTAGTCAGAATAGATAATAGTGAATTAGTTAGACCAGTAGTCTGACTCATTATAAAATGGTACAGGTTCAAAAAACGCTGAGATGGAACAATAAGTGAAGCACTACTCCAGATTGAATTATTATATTACCCTTTGAAATTCCCCCAAAAGTGTTACTGTATTGACTTCCATAAATTTTCCCAGTGTTGCTCTGGTCCAGTTAACTATTCCTTGGGAATAAGAAATGTATTATGAACTTGAGTATTCTAGCTATACTAACTGTCTGAAAGAAGTGGAACAATTTTATTTGGATCATTTTCATTTTAACCCATTGCTGATGGGAGATTACACTCTCTACATAACCTGGAACAATCCAGTATTTTTGTTAGTTGGAAGACCCATCATCCAATTTACTGCCCAAAGGTTAGCCATATGGACAGCTTTCAACTTTTCTTATTTTTTAAAAAATAGGAAAGCTGTCACTTGTATAGATTCCAAGTGACTAATCCAGGACTGGACAGTATACTTTAATAGAACATTTCAAACCATGTTATCTGTATATCCAGATGGCAAATAGATCATTGCATAGAATAGATGCTGTGCAGTTTATACTCATGTTTCTAGCATTGAGCATATATTCTTAGGGCGTGCTTAAACCAGGGGTGGGGGAGAGCAGGCATTAAAATTAAGTGCAATCCTATATGTCTTTTCAGAAGTAACACTGATTCCAATGAGAATTACTCCTAATTAACTATATACAGGTGGTAGATACATATTTAGCATAAAGTCTGAAGTGTTTCATTGTTCTCTGAGAACAAAATATAATCTTGTACGTGTGGAATACATAGCATTTCCCACTACTGTTTATAAATCTTTTTAGTGAAAATTACATATCTTCCCCAGAGCCTGTTTGGACTCTTCCATTTTCTGCTTTTGAAAGGCATTTGAAGAGCAGGCCACCAGACAATATTGATTGCTGAAGTGTTTTTTTAATGAATTCCCCTTATTATTATTTATTTTTTATGCCCTCTTCATTCTGATTGTTTTTAATGTGAAGCCACTTTAAATCTTTATAATATGGTAGCCACACATAAGCCAAATAAATATGTTTAACAAAATAGCCATTTCACCTATTTTATTTTTGCAAGAATTTGAAAGGTATTCTGGTTTATGTCTCTAGTAAAATAAAACAAAAGCCAACACTGGATTGGTTTGCACCAAGCTCAAAGTAAGAATGTACAATGTGGGTATACTTGAATTAGATTAAATTCAGACAGTCAGGCAGTTTTGAAAACTTGGTTTTGTTGTAGTTTCACTATACTGTTTGTATAAGATTTGTGCTTTCTTCTTTTACACTTGTAGGATAATTCTGGAGATAGAAGAGCCAGCTTCCAATCACAATGGAGGAGAAGTATTGTTTGGAGATGATAGTTATCTTTATATCTTCACAGGAGATGGAGGAATGGCTGGTGATCCTTTTGGGAAATATGGAAACGCTCAAAACAAGTAGGATCTTAAATTCATAAACTTTGGAAAAGAGGGAACAAATAAATTGTATTGTTTCTGTTTATTGATTTGAAACTAGACTCAGTGATGGCATATATTTTATTGCTTTCTTAGATTTAAACTTGGTATACAATGCAATAAAAATATAAGGTTATATCAAGGGGATAGTTGGTTATTATGTGCTATCAAGTCAGTGTTGGCTTATAGTGATCTCATATGCTCCATGATGACAAGAATAGGTTGGGTGCATCTAAGTCCTATAATTTTTAATAGGAATTAACTTAAAACTAAAAATTATTGGTTAATTTAAAATAAATTATATTCAAATAATTTTGTTTTGATTAAAACTGTGTATCTGTGTCTTTAATGTCACAATTTCTAGTATTTCATGATTCAAGTTTATTGGCAGTTGCAACAACAGTTGAACTAATGATTTCCCACATTCTCCCAAAAGGTTTAGTTCCAAATACCAGACATAGAAGCTAATATTTAGACTTAGATACTAGTAACAATATTATTACTACATTTTAAATGATCTTTAAAGCTGAGATTTTCCAAGTGGCTTAGAAATTTATCAAGAAATGCCTAGTGAGTTATTTCATTGTGGAAAGATGGAAACAGATTTATGAGGACATAAGTAGATTATGCCCTGTAGGCTTCACAAAAGAAGCTCAGAACATATTGTGCCTAAGGTATGTTATATTAAAAATCCAAATACTGAATTTGCTAATACTAACTACCAATTCAGTCTTCCATACACCCAGTTGGATGACTTTGAGCCAGTCACTTTCTCTCAGCCCTAGGAAGGAGGCAATGGCAAACTACTTCTGAAGACCCTTGCCAAGAAAACTACAGGGATTAGTCCAGGCTATCACCGGGAATCAATACTGTCTCAAAGGAATACATGTACACAAAAAATGTGCTCTTGCCTTAGTTCTGAAATGTTATTCTCTTCCTCTTCATCTTCACTCAATATTTAATGAAGGAAATATAATTTCAGATCTTTTCTGAGGAAGAAAAATAGCAGGAAGGGCAAAATGTTTGTCACCAAGGTAGTTCTGTACTTTTTCTTTGCCCTTATCGCATGATTGCAAGGAGGTGCTGAGAAGTAAGCATCATTCAATTTAAACTTTTATCTCTTAGAAAATAAAGAATAGCTTTACTAATGCTAAGTTCTGTTAGAAGAATGTATTCCCTGTGGCTCGTTTCAGCCTCAGATGAAATACCAGACACTGTAAGTTGGAAAATTTGCTGCTTCAAAAAATGTGAAGCGTGCCCCGTGCTTATCAAAAATGTCAATCCCTGATTTATCTAGAGGTTGAAAATGCAACTCAAATAATACAACTAAACTCTAAGAACCCCTTCATCCCAAACTTTTTTTTAATTGCATTTCTTCTGAAAACATTGAACAAGAACGGGAAAACATTTTTGTCAATATGTAGTGAAGGATAGGAAGAATCTAAATGTTTTGTATAAATGAATGCAACCCTTTCTTTCTTGTAAGAGAAATTCCATTTTAAAAAGTACTGTTACAAATTCTTTATTTGCGTTCAACAGGTCAACACTGCTAGGCAAAGTACTCAGAATCAGCGTGGAAAACAATGATATTGGGCCTCTTTATCAAATCCCTCCTGACAATCCTTTCATCAATGAATCAAAAGCCCGACCTGAAGTCTATGCTTATGGGGCACGGAATATGTGGCGTTGTTCTTTTGATAGGGGTGATCCCACTACAAAGGAAGGGAAAGGGAGGCTTTTCTGTGGTGATGTAGGACAGAATAAATTTGAAGAAATTGACATTGTGGAGAAAGGGAGAAATTATGGCTGGAGAGCAAGAGAAGGATTCAGCTGTTATGACAAAAAACTTTGCACCAATTCCTCTTTAGGTAATTATGGGGTTTGAGTAATTGAAGTAAATAATGTATGGAGGAAAATATTTTCATATTATTTTGTTCTCTTTTATAGCTTATATCTATAAAAAGTTTATACTTGATTATAAAAATGGTTATTTTGCATGCTATATGTATAATACTACCTTTTCCCCTTCTGCAGATGATGTCCTTCCAATATATGCTTATCCCCACAAAATGGGGAAATCAGTTACAGGAGGTTATGTCTATCGAGGTTGTGAGTCTCCAAACTTGAATGGGCTCTACATATTTGGAGATTTTATGAGTGGGTAAGTGACAGTAGGCCAGCTATTAGGTAAATGATGAATTAGATGGCATCCTGTGTTAGTTACAGTGTTTAAGGCAGCTTTAATCTTTGCTGATAACCTTCCTAACATTTAGCAATATGCCATCCATTGCTACTCTACTGCAGTTGATGTGTCCATCATGTTATGTCTCTGTTATATGAATCTACATGTGTATAAATATTAAAAATTGGATGGACTATTAATGAACCACTAATAAAAGTTTACCACTGAATACCTCATAGTAAAATGCCACTGTTCAGAAACTGAATATTCATTTTAAGAAGGATTATATGCTATTGCTATGATCATAAGTATTAAACATACAGCTCTCAATATTTTGATATGTTTGCAGTATTTAATAATTAAATTCCAAATCTAGTTGACCTTTATAATTTATATAGTTCAATGTCTCATATGTGGTTAACTTTAAAGAAACAATTATACCTGAACCAGGTGGTCCTCACTTACCAATTGCAATTGGGACTGGCAACTCTGTCACTAAGTGAAGTGGATATAAAGTGAAACATCTTGTGACCACACCAACTTACAATGTCAATTTCATCTGGAGTCATGAAGCAAATCACTACAGGTCATTAAGCACAATGTCACATGCCTGCAACTTGTGACTTGTCAGTTTCTCCATTGGCTTTGCTTATTGGAAACAGGCTGTAAAGATTGCAAGTTTTCTGTCTCAGGTTGCAGACTCACACAGACATAGTTGCTGAGGAGCTGTGCAGATAACAGTAGACAAGATCGTAAATCAAGGAATAGGATAGTTAAAAGTTGTTCTCCTTGGTTTATTTCATACAAATCACTATGTTTTTTCCCTTTTCATCTTTCAGACGTCTCATGTCCTTGAAAGAGAATCACAAAAGTGGGGAATGGCAGTACAATGAAATATGCATGGGAACAGGCCAAACATGTATGTTTCCTGGACTTATCAATAACTATTATCAATACATCATCTCTTTTGCTGAAGATGAGGCAGGTAATAGCTTGATTCTTTAAATATGTGGCTAATATTCTCAAGCATGAGAAAAGCATAAAATTATAAAGTTCAAATGATCAACAAGAAACATGAGTTTCCAACTTTTGGGCATAGGAGCATTTGAAACTTTGAAAACATGTCACAGACAGGAAAACCCTGCTAGCAAATTAATTCCTTTGGATTTCTGTGCAAATATAGACATTTTTAATAGAAGATAGATAGATAGATAGATAGATAGATAGATAGATAGGTAGGTAGGTAGGTAGGTAGGTAGGTAGGTAGGTAGGTAGGTAGGTAGGTATAAATAGACTGTATAACTAAAATATAGTTTTATGTATATAAGTACATATATACACATATACATACTATACACACACACACACATACACTCTGTGTCTGTGTGCTGTATGTATTTAATTCCTTTAATATTTAAAGAGTGAATTCTGTATTAGCATGTCAGCTAAATGGCTGACTTTTTGCAGGACTACTTTTGTTAGATAGTAGTTCTCCCCAGCCACCCGGCTTCTAGATGCTTTTTCATTGCCTATAATTTTCATTCAGCATGCTAAAACCTGGCCGGGCAGGATGGAGTTGTCCATCCTGACTGCATAAAATTAGAGAAGTTTGGTATATAGTTTGAAGTTACCATGTTTCCCCGAAAGTAAGACCTATCTCCCCAAAATAAACCCCAGCTTGATTTTGGGGGTGGACCTAATATAAGCCCTGCCCCAAAAATAAGCCCTAGTTTTGGGGCGAGGTGCATGTCTAAAAATTAAGCTTGGGGGGGGGTAAAGCTGTCCCATGCACCCCATACCCGCTTACCAGGCTCCCATGAATTGACACCTGCATCTTCTTGCCAGCTCACTTCTTCTGTGGCATACCCTGGCCTGCATTTTGCAATCAGAAGCCTTTCCGGAAGGCCTCTGCATTGAGAACCAAGCTAAGGATTCAATCTGTAACTCGGTTCTCGGCTGCAGAGGCCTTTCCAGAAGGCATCTGATGGCTAAATGCAGGTTGGAGCTTCATTCTCAGTTGCAGAATGAAGCTGTTCCTTCAGCCGCAGAAGAAGTGGGCTGGCTGGGTGGGGCTATTGGTGCCGCCACCGCAAAGTGAGTGACACCCCCCCCGAAAATAAGACCTGGTACCTCATTTGAAGGCAAAAAAAAAAAAAAAAACCAATAAGACCGGATCTTATTTTCAAGGAAACATGGGATAAGTGATATGAAATAGGTCTGTATTATTCCTGTGAGAACAGATGATTGAGTGGCTGAGGAAAGTTTATTGGTATGATCATATCAAAAGCAAGGAAGATTAGTAAAGATTCTCTTGAACTGGGACTAGTTCTTGTATATAATCGTGCAATTTTTTGGGTCAGCAACACAGAAATGATATAACATTGCCTCCTTTGAACTCTTCAGTTTAGTCCATAGCTCTGGGATTTCTTGGTGGATTCCCATCCATGAATTTCACCAGATACCTCAGTGTATTCGGAATCCAGACATGCACCTGCCTAATTTTAATTGAAGTTCTGAGTAATTTTTCAGAAATCTCTATGCATTGTCTTAAAGATTGGTTTCTGACAGGTTTTTCTGATGTCAGATTACTTTCTTTGCCTGGTGGGCCCAAAGAAGTACATATAAACAATTTGTTTCTTTCTTGTTGTTCTTTCCTAAAGGGGAACTTTATTTCATGTCAACTAGAATACCAAGTGCCACTGCTCCGAATGGAGTCATTTACAAAATAGTTGACACATCACGGTAAGACTTGGAACATTTTTGCTCATAAACATGTAAATGCTGATGTGAAGAAAATTTTGGCCTTATTTACTGAGTTTGAGTCTTTCTCATCATAAACTGCCAACCTTTTATTGAATCTGCAACGTACTGCTTATCACAGTACTTCTAGCCGTGAATTTCCTCCATTGGCAATGATTACTTGGCCATTTATGTAGGTTCTTCGATGTTCTTTATCATTAGGATACTCTGTGTGTTTTTTCTCTTAATTTCATCAGGAGAGCATCACCTGGAAAATGCCATGTTGACCCTTTGCCAGTAAAAGTGAAAGGCAGGCTCATTAAATTTGCTCCAAAGGAAAGTGAGTAATGGAGATACATATTATTGAGTATTAACCTTGGGGAATTCTGGGGCTAAACAATTGATTCATGCAAGGAAATGAAGCTAATATTCTGATTAATGAAAAAAAGTGAATCTTTTGCTTTCAAGAAGGTGAGCTCATTGGCTGCAAGATAGAGTGGACATGGAATACAATAACTGAAAGAGAGTTTCATTAAAGCCAGCTTGGCATATACAGCCTATTACCATGGGCAACTCCAGTTTGTGATCATGATTTTTTTTTTTTGTCTTAAAAAGGTCTACTTTTGGTGGACCAGAGAACAGGAAACCCCTCACACTGCATTGAAAACAGAATTGACATGGTGGCAGGGGCAGAAGGCAATTCTTTCTTCAAGTGCCCAGCACCTCCCAAGTTTTAATAATTAAGGCAGCAGAAATAGGGTCAGACTTACTCTGTAAAGCACTCATTTTCTCTACCCTGGCCCATCCAGCCCTCTCAATCTCAAATATGTTACTGACCAGTTTCATTTGCTTTTCATCTGGTTATGAAAGACAGCAATCCTTAATCTGTTAGGCAGCTTCTCCTGTTGCCATCGGCAGTTCAGTTTTTTATCAGATAATACAGTTTGAAGGACCTGTTAAAAATACTTCCCTTTGTTATTCTCTGCTAGAACTGATAGTGAAAATGCCTACACGGGATCCTAAGATAAAAGCCACAACCAGAGTCCCAGCAAGAAGTAAAGTACCTACAGAGTCTTCACAAGGCACAACTCCAGACTGGATGGAGCAACTCTTGACTCTGCTTAGGAATCAGAACGGATGGCAGATGACTACTATAGCACCAAAACCCAAACTTTTAAAGCCCAGGAAAGGAGGAAAGCCTAGGAGGAGACCACATCGAAGAAGGAAGAATAGGCCTACCGGTGTCTCTCGACAGCCACAGAATGGTGCAGTCCGACTCATGAATGGCAGCACAAGAGGCAGAGACCAAGGAAGGGTTGAAATTTTTATCAATGGAGAGTGGGGCACTGTGTGTGATGATTTGTGGACTTCTAAAGCAGCTGCTGTAGTTTGTCGCCAGTTGGGTTATGCTTTTGTAATCCGGGCCACCAAGAAAGCAGAGTTTGGGGAGGGACATTCACTTTCAATTTTACTTGACGATGTTCAGTGCGTAGGACATGAGAAGACCCTTCTGGAATGTTCCCATTCAGACATTGGAAAGCACAATTGTTCCCACAAAGAGGATGCAGGAGTAATATGCAGTCAAGAAGAAGTTTTTGAGTAGAAATATCTACAGTAAAACATGAGTTTGTGCTGTGACTTTTTAAAAAAAATAAGACTACATGAATACACTGTTATAGTTATCAGACTGGCATATGGTTTGGGAAATATACATGTCCATAGGGCAGGCCGGGATGGTAATGCTTCAGTATGCCCATGGGATACCCTGCTTCACAAACTGCAGTAGTGGTTAACAGTATGGTTCATCACACAGTTAGCCAGATGTTGAAACTGGGCATTTTTATTCACCTGTCAAGTCCTTCCTAAGGGCTTGGGATAGGCAGGTGCGGGAGTTTGATGATGTTAAAGGTATTGTCACAGGATGTAAGCTATTCTGAGTAAAGCTGGCTGTTGCAATTGATCAGTGGTGATTTTGTCAATGCCAATGGTATTCAGATGGTGCTCCATTTGTTTTGGGAAATCATTATGGGATTGCATCAAGGCATCTATTACTATCGGTACTATCTTTCACGAATGAAGGCGAATATATGTATCCCAGGATAATATTGCAGGATCCAGTCTGGATTGGTCACCAGGACCAGCAGTTTTCTCTTCCAAGCTTTCAGATTCATGCTGGAGCCCCCATCCTCAGGGAAGCTTCTTTTTAGCTGCTAGAGAGAAGTTTCACAAAGAGGGGCTCCAAGCACGAGTCTGAAAGCCTGGAAGACAAAACCTCTGGTGCTGATGACCGACCCAGATTGGATCCTGGTACTATCTTTACTTTCTTTTGCCACAATCATTCTATTTCTATTTGCAGTTCTTTGTATTTTGTTATCTTCTCTAATTCTCTCTCTTCTATTTTGCTGCTTCCAGATACTGCCATGTCCACTATCCAGATTTTTTTGTCTTCTCACCAATTGTTAAATCTGGGGTGTAATGTGGCGAGTTCCTGTAGGTTTGAATTTGAAGTCCCAGAGCAATTTTGCTTCTTTATTTTCTATTATTTCCTCTATTTTATGGTCCCACTAATTATTTCTTATAGGCAAATGGTATTTCTTGCGGATCTTCCAATCCACCATTGTTGATACTTTGTCATGCTGTTGCTTGTAATCAGTCTGTGTGATTATTAAATTTGTCACTCATCTCACAGTAAAGAGTGACTCTGAGCAGTATACTCAGTATGCTTCCAGGTACAATTCAAGATCCTGGTTATCTACTCACCAAACCCTTTATGGCAAACATGTCAAACTCATGATGTCATGTGACGTCATGTGATGCATCGGAGCTTTTTCCCCATTGTCGGCAATGGGGTGGGCGCAGTTTGTCATGACACATCTGGCCCGTGGGCCAGCAGTTTGATACTCCTGCTTTATGGCATAGTACTTGATTATCAGAGGGACCATCTATGTCCATCCTGCTTGCCTATCCAGTACAAGCCGATAGGTCAATGCTCTCTGAATTCTATTAAACACTTATCTACTAGCACCCAAGAAGCATGCCTTCTCTGCCATAGTGCCTGTTGTCTGATACAGTTCTCCCTGATACTCTGTGGCCCCTATCTTGATGGCATTCAAGAAAGTCTAAATATCAGGCATTCTCTCAGACTATGGGTTAACGTGGTTGGGACTTTCTGCAGGTTTTGTTTGGGGATGTGGATTGTGGAGTCTGTTTGCCAGACTCACCAATCATTCTAATTCTCTATCCTGCTCAGTGTGGAATTGGGTGGTAACTAAAGTGAATAAATTAAATTAAAGGGATATACTGTAGGTAAATACTATATCTAGAGTAAGTAATTGCTTGCCATTTGAAAGTGGAACACAAACTAAATAGTATTGGAAGATACCTTTTATAAATAAGCAAATATATTATGTTGAATGTTTTGAATTAAATTAAGCAGCAGATGTTTATGTTCTTCTGTTTTCATTTTTTGTTACCTATAAGAATGTATATTACCTGATTGTGTTCTACAAAAGGAACATACCTGTAACAGAATCATTATGGAAAATTTAATAAAAATGAAGGACTACAATCTCTGAGAAAAACAGAAAGCCGGTGCTACCATATTCTTCTTTGTTCTGAAATGGGTGCTGCTAAATTTAGTCCTGTGTTGAATTATATATTTATTGCAACCTCATAGATTAACTTTAATTATCATGGCTAAAGAATTTATATTCATATTCTAGTCTTAAACCAGACTAGAATATCATTTATTTAATTTTGGAATGGTCTCTTGTATGAATTCAGGCAACTGTGGTTCACTCAGTAATGGGTTTTAAACGAGATCTTAAAATAGTGTACAAGTAGTTTTCAATTTATGATCACAATTGGGAGCAGAATTCTGTTGCCAAGCAAGGTTGGCTTATCTGATTTTACGATAATTTCTTGCTATGTTTGTTAAGGGAATCACTGTTGTTAAATGAATCTGTTTTCCCCCATTGATAGCTTTTCAGAAGCTGGCTGGGTAGGTCTCAAATGGCAATCACTTGAACCCAGGACACTGCAACTGTTATGAATACATGCTGATTGCCAGGTCCCTTGATTTTGATCACACAAGAGATTCCCCCAAACTGTGGGGATGTTGCAACAATTGTAAGTGTAAGGGATCAGTTTTAAACCACTTTTTTTTAGCAGTTATAATTTAGAACAGTGACTAAACAAATGGTTGTAAGTCAACTACCTGTATAAACCTACCATTAAGAATAGCCTAAAACACATAACTAATTATGCAGTTATATAATTGAATCATATTCAAAAAAGTATTATTAGAATGTAATAAGATATCTGAACAGTCTCTAATAGGAGATAAAACCACAATACCATAAATAATGAACTTTTGCTTTCTGTATTTGCTGACTGCGTTTATACTCAATTGCATATATAGAAAAGAAAAACAATACATTCTTAAAAATTGTTCAATTTCAAATTCTATCCTATTAAAACCTGACTGATAGAAAACTAAGGGCTTTATAAGCATTTGCATTTTTTTCTGATGACACTAATAAAATCCATAATTCTCCCTTTCTAATACCTATATTTCCCTTAAGAGTGTGAGGCATAATCTATAGGAAAGACATATTCATATCATTTGGTGTCCTTACATTATGTATTTTTTTTATGTTTTTATGGGTACCTAAGGAAAAATATAAAGAAGGAAGCACCGTACAAAGATTAGGATTCTAGGTATAACAGGTTTTACAACTACTATGTTCATGCTGGGTGAAAGGTATTTTCCTACTTCAAATCCAATATACCTATGGCTTAGATTGTAAATATAGTACAATGCTGGATTCTTGATTTCCTTTTTTATTTTGGCATGCATCAGTCACAATAATCATGTATTTTTATGATTGTGATCACTTTTTCCTGGAAGAAGGACAGAGCAACTGAGCATTAATGAGTAGAAGGGAATCTCAAGAAGCTGAACAGTAGAACAAAGAAACATTTGTCAGAAACTTTCAGAATGCGAGATTGGCAAGATTGTAGCTGATAGGCCATAGTCCAAGCGATTCCCTCCCACTGTTGAAAAGTTGAGAAGGGAAGTTCCTTGGCAACTAAGGTCACTCCAGAGGAGCCCAAAGGTGGAGCAGAGGAGATGGGCTGGAAATGCAAATTCTCTAGAGGACTTCCTAAGTGGCATGGCTCTTTTGCAGCATGTAGCTCTCTAATCACCATGGACTGAAGAAGGCTGATGTCCAGAAGATAGAATTAACTAAAGCTGGCCAATGAACGCTATGTCGAACTCCACATCAGTCGTCAACGTTGGCTTAGGAGTCTAGGTATTAGACCAGTGGTTCTCAACCTGTGGGTCGGGACCCCATTTGGGGTCGAACGACCATTTCACGGGGGTTGCCAAACAATGCAGTCTGCCATTTTTTCCCCCTTTTCCTTAGCTGTGCTACTCCCTTTTATTCTATTGGCTTTTGAAAGCCAATAGAATAGACTCTCTTGAATAGAGTCTAATTCTATTGGCTTTCAAAAGCCAATAGGAATTGTCCAGGCTGTCTCTGCCCTGCTGAGCCCGCCAAAAGTCCCATTCTGCAAACGGTGCTGCAAGTTGTCTGCAGCGAAGGCGAGCTGTCTGGAAGTTTCCACCCCTCCCTGCTGAGCAACTACTAAAAATGTAAGACCAGGGGTGGGAGGTAGGAGGCCGGCAGGCGCAGGGAGGTTGCTGGCACACGTGGGGCCCGGTGGGTGCCTTACCTCCCTTGGGCTGGGCCAGCTGGTGGCCTAGCCGGTGGTCGGCCTGCTCCGTCTCTGCCGCTTGCCAACTACGCCTTGGCCAGCGCAGGGGGCAGCACCACGCATATGCGGCGCTCCCGGGCAGGGAAAGTCCTCGACTTACGACCGGTTGGGTAGTCCTCAACTTATGACCAGTTGGAGGTCGCGACATTAAAAAGGTTGAGAACCACTGTATTAGACACAGACAAACCCATATACACCAGTTGAAAACGTAGTAGCTGAAAGGAAAAATGGCATATTACATACAATGAAGGACTCACTACTTGCAGATGCAGGCATGAGTAGAGGGTACTGGGGAGAAGCCATAAAACGGCTAATTATTTAATAAATAGATTATAGAGTTCAGCTGTGAACGAAACTCCATATTTTTTGTTATACAGTAAGAAACCCTAATTGGCTCACCTAAGAATTATTGGTAGTTATGCCTGGGTCCATAATCCTAAGAGCATTAGAAGGAAGGAACAGAAAAAGACCAGAAAACTGAGGTTTATAGGATATAAGCCAGGATACAAGGAGTATAGGTTTACTGATGGAACTCAGAAAGTTGTGATTTCACGTTCTGCCAGTTTTGTAGAGCATAGTAATTGGGATAGAGTACATGCCAACACAGAGGTGTTTATTCCATCACATAGTGATGGATCTCAGGAAGGAGGAGCTACAGAAGACCCATCATGAGAGAAAATGGGTAGCAAGTCAGAAACTGTAAATATAAAGGAAGAGAGACCTGACATGAAAAGTGAAGACACAGAAGCACAGGAACAGGTGGGTGGTCGGAACAAATTAATAAAGGAGTACCTCCTGATAGATAAAAGGTTAAAGTATGTAGTATGTGTTATGAACTTCGCAATTACCAAAAAATGATGTCCTTACTGAAAACAGAGTGAGAAAAATGGAAAGAAGCCATGGACAGGGAAATAGAATCTATGGATGTGTCTCTAGTGTTCTCGCCTATGAGATTACCAGAAGGAAAAAAGGCCATGGATGTAAGTTGGTATATAAAAAAGAAGGTGATATAAAAAATAATGAACTGCAATACGAGGCAAGACTAGTAGCACAGGGATTCACAAAAAGAAAATAATTTGGCTGATATATTAATGAAGCCTTTGAATTCAGACAAGTATCAAAATTGGGTAAAGAAGTTCAGACTAGCAGCTATTCAGCTCTAAATGGGAGGAGTGTCAAGGTAATTACAAATTCTTTCCATTTTCATAGCTGATTTCTGATTTCTGGGAAGCCTGAAAGCAATGGATCAGCCTTGCAATTTTCAGATGTTAGCCTTCATTTAGTGACATCCGAGCGATGATCCCCAGCCCATTCTTACCTCCTTTGAAAGTCTGGGGCCTGCGGTGATCTCATAAAGCTGGGGTTTGCTCTTGGAGACAGGATTAGGCCAAGTGAAACTGGACCTTCGTAAGAGGGTTTCCTCAGAAAGGCAAGGGAAAGGGACTATTCCTGCTAAGATGGGGATATTTGGCCAATCCCCCAGAGGAAACGGGCCCTACTCTGAATCTGCTCCATAGGCTCATGAGGACATTTCCGCAAGACTCACCTAGCCAATTTCCTCCAGTGAGGGATGGCCCAAGTGCATGCCCTTTCCTTCGCTGTTTTTTTTTTTCTTTTGTTCTCCATCTTTCACTCCAAGGGGAATCCTCCTAAAGCTCAGGCCTACCCAGAAGGCCCTTGGAATCGTTTTCCAGTACCACCCCCAATCATCCACTGCGGGCAACCACAGAACATCTTTGGAAAAGAGAGACAGAGCCTGGTGCCTAGACTTATCCAGTTATTAAGCCAAACTGCATGTACAGACCAGTATCTGTTCCCCTTCATGACATGATTGTTTTTGTAAACACCATAACCAACCTTTCAACTGCTGTTTAAAATGCTCTGTAGTACACTCTAGTTCAGTTTAAAAAATATTGTGAACATAAATGCCCAAATGACAGTATTTCCTCTTTTTAAAAATTAAATTGATGTCGTGGTTTCAATCTGCATGTTACACCATCAAGTGGTCTCAAGGTTCCCATATCTAGAATTTTAAAGCTCTGTGGTGGAGCCAGCTCAAATTCAAACCTCTGCAGAAATTTGGCCATCAGCACTTTAGCTTCCATCTTGCATGAAAACAAAACAAACAAAAGAAGAAAGAATTAATATATTTTTTTAAAAAACACACACACATTTTGACTTCATTCAGAGACTGATCATTAGCTTCCTTTACCCCTTACTGTTGGCCATGTTAGTTGGGACTGCTAAGACCTTCACCAACATCTGGAATGTCATAGATTTCAATGCCTGCTCAAATCTTTCAGTCTTTTTATTTATCAAATAAATACTTTTTAGATTTTGAGCTCTTCCATAATTTTTCATTACATGTGCAGTTTTTAAAAACCCTAATTCAAAAACTGAAGAGATGCATGTTAATATGGTCATGAGAACAAATTAGGATTCCAAGAGCAGCTGTAATCAAAGCTTCAATGATTAAGTCCATTCAAAACAGAAATTGAGACTCACAGAAAAATGAAACAGATAATTTTTTACAACTTTATTCATTCACATTCCCTTTGTTTCTTTAAAAGGACTACAGAACCTGGGGAATGAGGCAAAGGAAAGCACATTGCAATACCTATACTCCTTATTTAGTGACCATAATTGATGACTGCACTTTCCTTTTCCCCACTCCCCTGGAAATGGTCACCTCAGTGCAGGATATCTGGCTGGCAGCTGCTGACATTTAATGACTAATAGGTTTCACACCTTCAGTTTTTCTTTGCCTCCTAAAGATTTCACTTCAACTTCCCTACTCCATCACTCTGTGGAATGGTTCCCCTGGCACTGGTATAATTAGCAAGAAACCAATTCTATCTACATTCACTGAAGAGGCAGGGATTACAAGAGAGTAAGCAGGCACTCAATGGAAGATACACACTGAAAGGAATGTGGTGGCATCAGCAGACCTGACTGCATTACACAAACAGCCCATTATGTGCCTATTTACTCTCTTGTAACCCCTCCTTCTCCAATCTCTCTGCTCTGCACTTTTTGGGAGAAAAGTTAGGCACAATGCAGATGCATAGAGATTGATTTTTTTTTCTTTTCCACCCCTTGCAAAGAAAAGATTAGTGAGGAAAAGATTACAACATAATTAACAGGCACAAATGGGGAATAAACAGGATTGTTTATGTAGTGCACTTGCAACTCCCAACCAAAGTGTGGTTGGGACTACCAGAGCCACCACATTCCTTTAAATGTGTATTCCCCATAATATGCCTTCTTACTCTCTTGTAATCCCTTCCTCTTCAACCTTTCCACTCTGCAAGGGAATGGGGAGAAAACCCCGGTCAGGCAGAAGATATGTACTGACTGTAATGGCACTCATCTGACAGACATTATGAAGTTTGCAAATTAGGGCATTGGTTGTAAAGTTAGTTTTTTCAACACTGTCATAATTTTGAATGGTCTCTGAAGGAGGGAGTCAGTAAGCAAGGTCTACCTGTGTTTTATGATATAATATTTTGTATTTTATGATGTAATGCTTTCAAGGTATGCTGTATTACTTTTCCCAGATAGCTCCGGGAGTATGACTAAAGATGGAAAGATGATTCTCTTCCTTGTGGTTAATTTAATGGAACTTTTTCAGGCAGCAACTGGACTTTCTTGCTTTTCTTTGAAGACATTTTGCTTCTCATCCAAGAAGCTTCTTCAGCTCTGACTGGATGGTGGGGAATAGAAGGAATTATATTCCTTAATTTAATGGAATTTAATTTCTTCTTTCCCACAAATGTACTTAAAATAAATATAAATAATCCTTCCTACCTTAATGACTACAATTGGGACCAGCAGCAATGTTGCTAAGCTATATGGCCATTAAGAGTGACATCACGTGACAGTGATGGGCTTACAACTTAATGTTTGCTGAGGTCATTAAGCAAATCACCTGCAGTCATTAAACATCACATGATCACAACTTGCAATTGTATTACCAGCTTCTCCATTGTAGCAAGCCAGCTGTGAAGAGTGCAAATGGTAATCACATAACTGGGGGATTCTGTGATGGTTATAAATGCCTACTGCTTGTGAAGCCTCTGAATCTCAATCATGTGATCACAGGACCACTGTAATGGTTGTATGTGCAAATATTGGATGTAAATTTACTTTTTCAGCACTGTCATAATGTTGAACAGTCATAAAACAGGGCAGTCATTAAATAACAACTATCTGTAACTAAGAATAATTATATCCAATTGTTCATCCCAGCTGATGTTTAATCAATTTCACTAATCTAAAACTGCAATGACTAAGAAGTTTCCAGCATGAGGATACAATTTTAATGCAATGTTCATAGAACATAGCAGATTTTCTCATAAAATGTTTAATTAAAAATTTATGTGACCATCTTAAGCCAAACTCTGGGATATTCATAGCCCAAGGATAAAACAATATATACCATCAGTGACATAAAACAGTAATACAAACAAAACAAATCAAAAACAAACCATGCCCAGTACTAGCACCACAGCTACATTTTTTGATGCAACTGTGAAACCTTCTGATTTGCCCATTGCTAATTTTACCCTATATAAATATGTTGAATATAAAGCAAGACCTATCTCCTTAATCATTCTTCAAAGTGATGAAAATTTAAGGAACAGAAAAAATGAATTTAAAGATTAGATAGTGTAGCTTTTATAGCATTACTTCACCAGTTTTGCTACATAACAAGAGGCATTTTGGAGGGGGTAAGTGTAGTTTAAGGCAAAATAGATATGTTAATCCTAGGGGAGAGTGAACCCACCTATTTTAGCTGCTCTATTTTGGCATTAAGATCTTGGAAGGCACTAGAGCAGTGGTTCTTAATCTTCCTAATGCCGCGACCCCTGCGGACAGGGGCAGGAGGAGGGGCAGGGTTTGCTCGCTCTCATTCTCTCTCTCTCTCTCTCACTCACTTTTTCTTTTTCTCTCTCTGGTACGCGCACTCCGCCTCCTCTCTTGCGGCTGGAGTGTGTGCCAGGCAGGCCGAGGGTGCACGCGGGCCGTCGCCCAGCAACCACCTCGGCCAGGGAGCACCGCGCATGCGTGGCACCGCCCCATGCACCAGCCAAGGTGGAGCTGGTGAGGCGCCGCCGCCTGCAATTTCATCATGCGGAGGGCCACGCCTCCCCCTCCGCCTGCATGCCCGCCCGCCCTCGACTGCGGTGCTCCATGCCGTGGTGCTTCTGCGTCATGATCGGCCGCCTCAGCAGCAGCAGAAGCAGGAGCGCCCGCCTCCTTGCCGCCCTCCTGCCCCTCACCTCGCTCCACGCGGTCCACCCCTCCTCCTCCGCCAGCACCTGGCCTTGCCGTCCAACCTCGCCGGACCCCAGTCTCAGCGCCAGCATGGACGGACCCACCACCTGGAGACGGATAGAGGAGCGGTGTCTCGGTTCCTAAGACCATCGGAAATATGTGTTTTCCGATGGTCTTAGGCGACCCCTGTGAAAGGGTCATTCGATCAAGAGCATATGCAACTTCTCCACTTATCTTTTAAAAGGAACAAGTACTAGTACTGGAATAAGCATTCTTAATGCAAGTATCTTACTCACCTGAGCAAATAGCTGTCCAATACATGAACGAGGTCCCAGCGAAAATGGGAAATAGGAAAAATAAGGTCTAGAAGAAACCACATGAAGCAGCTTAATTTGCAGTTTTAGGAAATGCGAGATATTTTTTCTATGCTATAAAAAGCTTTTTTGTTAAACCGCCTTCTGATTAAATAAAGAACAACAGATTGGTTCAGGATTTTTTTCCCTAGACATTTAGCTATACCATTACTGTATGTGTCAGAATGTTATCAATACTGACATTTACTTGTAATTTTAAGAGATGAACAAGCCCCTAAAATTAATTTCCATCAGTAATTCTTAAATAACTAGTAAAACACACATCCCAAAGTTATTCACCAACATAGATGTGGAACATCTGGTATAACAGGGACAATTATCATAAATGGTCCTACTATGTCAAAAGACTTGTACATGTCTTCATCAAGCTCCAGCAGACAGCATCAAATGATTACATTAAACAAAGGATGACTCTTATCACTTATGCAGGAAAGGCATGTTTACTGAAGAATGTTAGAGCAATCTATTTGAAAATCCCTCCTTTCGCTACAGAAGGTTTATGGTATTTTCTGCTTGACTTTGAAAATAATTAGATTTGTATACAAAAGTTTCTAATAATTTTATAACATTTCAAACATTCAGATTAAAGAATTTTAAACACAGAGATCACCTTGATTTGCCTTTGCTAAATCGATCAGGATCAAAGGTCAGAGCATCCTTGAAGTATCTTTCCATGCGTCCCATGATATAGGTACTGAACTATTAAGGGAAGAGAAAGATCGGCAGAGATAAATGTAAAGCCACCTGAAAACAACTGGGGCTGTTCACAGGTATGGGCAAATTCATATTTTAATGAATTTCTAATGCTTGCCTTTGGATTAACCTTAAACAAATCCTTGCTGCTATTTTAATTTCAGGATTAGGTGATTATTTTGTCCTTGGAAACTCTGTATGTCTGTCTGTCTGTATGTGTGTGTGTATAAATAAACAAACTCACAAATAAATCATAGCACTATTCAAATATCTGAAAGCAATAGCAATAGCAATTAGACTTATATACCACTTCATAGTGCTTTACAGCCCTCTCTAAGTGATTAACAGAATCAGCATATTGCCCCCAACAATCTGGGTCCTCATTTTACTGATCTCGGAAGGATGGAAAGCTGAGTCAACCTTGAGCTGGTGAGGATTGAACTCCTGGCAGTCAGCAGAATTAGCCTGAAATACTGCATTCTAACCATTGCAACACCAAGGCTCTTCACTGTGAAAGGAAGTCACACCGAAGAGGTCAAGGTTGTCCTCTACAGAATGTAGGACATGGGTTTGCATTATAGAAAGGGAAATTCCAGTTAAATACTGAGAAAAAAATTCAGTACTGAGGCAGTTTAGCAGTGGAATCAATAATTCAGAGCAGTTAGTTATGGCCTCCCTTTTACTAGATGTATTCAAAGGTGACTAGACAACCACCCCTTCAGTAAGCCATGAGCTGGATTCAATGTTCTATGGATTTGAGCCTAAGTTAGATATAAGATCCATTTTGACATTAGTGGACAATTGACCAATCATCTATCCATTCATAACATTTGCTTTCTATTCTTGATCATTCAAGTGGAATATATGACAAAGACTCCATGAACTCACAAATAGAGTGGTATTTGCTGGAATGTCAATTCCTTCAATTACATTTTTCTTCTCTGTCCAGCGCATAGTGCCTGGAACTGGTGGGTATAACCGTAGGATTTCTTTGTGAACCTGTAAATAAGAGCCAGCTTTTCTTTTAATAGTTGGTATGATATTGCAGAAAGATTATATATATCACTTTTCACTAAAAGTAATCTGAAGGCCAGATAAAATTCAATAAATGGAATCATGAAAAATTATAAGAATTAAAACCATCAAACTACAGAAACACATTAAATGATATACATTCAGCTCCAAACCTGGGCAAGTTGGTACAGGTAGTTTTCACTTAATGTCCACTTACTCAGCGACCATTTGAAGTTACAATGGCATGGAACAAGGGGAATTTATGACCAATCATCACAGTTGCACTGTGGTCGTCTGATTGTGATTTGGGTGCTTGGCAACCTGCTCACTATTATGTCCCGGGGTCCTGCAGTCATATACTCACCATTTGCAACCATTGCTGCCAGCTTCCAATAAGCAAAATCAATGGGAAATCCAGCAAGAGATCGCAAATGGATCTCTCTCTTTTTTTTTTTGAAAATGGTGTGAGTCGAAGCAAATAATCACAGGTTTTTTACACATTGCATCATATGATATATTCTAAAGCAAACAAGCACTAAGATGGATCAGCACATGTGCCATGGAAAATCCATGTCACCATGTTGAGGAATTCTTCTTAACCGATCAGAAATGTCATCCCTCAACTTGCCGTGTAAAGAAGTTTCATTTGTGTTGTGATTGTCTATGGATGTCTTCTAAGCCTGAAAAGTGGGAGCACCATTCAGGCAGTTTTGGATCTTTGAACATAAACAATATGTCAGGGAGCCAATTTAGTGCTGGGGTCAAGGTGCTGGGCTTGGAATGAAGAGACCGAGAACTCTAAACCTGCCTGACATATAAAGGCTGGCTGGGTGACTTTGGGCCAGTCCTTCTCTCTCGCTCCAACTCATTTCACAGGGTGGTTGTTGAAGGGAAATTGAAGACAGGAGCATTACTTGCACTACCTTGAGCGGCATAAAATAAAGGTGGGATATATATCTAACAATAATAAATAAGAATTTTTTTTTTCTATTTAGGCTGTTATCACCTTCTTGTTTCCTCTCTACTTTAAGAGCTGCTGCACCGACCAACCTTCTTCCTAACAAGATGGGCATAGAAATAAAACCAGCCTTTGGAAAGAAATGATTGGTGCTTTTCAGTCTCTCGTCTCTAGTATTAAATTAAAAAAAAATGGAATCTGCCTTCTCTTTCTGGATTATCAGAGCCAAGTAAAGAAAAAAGGAGCAGAACATGAATGGCAAGAGTGTGCATCACCCATAGTAAATGAATATATTAGTTACAATTATAACATCATCATAAATTACCGCATAGTAATACATTTTTGAATTCTATACATAGCAGTAGGTGGTCTTGACTAAGAATTGCCCTACTCCTATTGTTTCTGCCCACTTGGCCTATTTGAATTGGGTGTGCTCCAGGTTCTCCCTGGTAAATTTACTCATCTGACAGAACCTAAGACTTCAATGTTTCCATAAAGCCCTTAAAATGTGGTCCCAGGCCTAGGGTAAATGTGTTTAGAGATGAGGGAGTCATCGTGCTTTGCTTTAATGGTTATTTTTAGTCCAGGCTGTCTTATTTCGTTTTATATTTTTAATTGTTGTAATTTATTACTATATTTGTTAAGCTGCCTAGGGTCCACCGGAGTGGGCACCTACCTTAAATTTAAATCATAATCATAATAATCATAAAAATAATGTCCCAATATAAGAAGAGTCCAGTAATTTGTATACCTGACATTCTAAGCAAAAATAGTATACTGTATGTATTGTTTTAAAGATGAGCCCTGGGTGCTAAGATTTCACATTGTAATTAGATGTTCTTACAGAAATTTCACAGCATCAAAATCCCAGAATGCCTTTGTCATGGCATTTAATGATGCCAAGAGCCATTTCTACAAAAAAAAAATTCAGAAATAAATTTATCACTCTTACTATCAGGACACAAGCACAGGGAGGTGGGGTCAGAAACTTGGGTTATCTGTAGGTTTATTATTCAAGTGTACCTGTGATAAATATTCCAGTTTCCTGAGATCTTCATAGACAATGTCCCTCTTCACACCAATGACTTCATCGACTTCTGCCTGAAGTCTAAAATGCAATGACAGAAAAAAACTTGGTTTAGCCAAAACCCATTGACTAATTGCGAATGTAGATAATGCTTTATTTGATGAGACTAGCAGTTATTTATAATTAAACTATTTGTTTTCATTGTTGTATATAGCCTGGAGTCTCATGACTGGGGTGGTCTGCATATACAGTAAGTAGGCAAGTGAATAAATACCTGCATATGCACCACCCACTTTCAAGATTCAAAACAGTTAATTACCTCCATAGTTCTGTGCCACCATGCAGAGGGCAGGAATGCATAAGAACAAAGCCAAACAGATCTCCCTTGGAGCTACCTATGATCCAGATTCCAAATTCTGATGGTCAGGGCCCTCCAATGGTCACATGACTAAGCTTTGGGCATTGGGATGCCTTTACAGCCGTTTGCAACCTCCCATGGTCATGTGACTGCATTTTATGATGGATTTGCTTCTAGGTTTTGGCAAAAGTGTACCTATATCAAATCATTACTTGGCTTAAGAACTGGGGTATTCACTAAATGACTATGGCAAACACTTTGTAACTGCAGGGTTCAATTAATATCCATTATGAAAAGGTTGCAAAATTGGGCTGGTCATGAGAATCACCTGCTTTATGTCAAAGACTATATGTACATACACTAACAAAAAAGTACACAAGCCAGATTTACATATTCACATATCTTTTCCTTTATTTTATAAGGGACCACTTTAAAGTCTGCTGGGATTGGGATTCCCAACTACAGCATAAGATAAGACCAGGAATGCTAACCTCTTTTCTTAACATATACTTATCCAGATGCCTAGCACCTGAACTATGCTATCTTTTCTTTGCTACCATTTATAGTCCAAACTACATTTTCTTTTCTGCTGGCTCTTTTTTAGATTCCTCCTTTGACTTCAGCTGCCTTAGGCTTCTTCTTGTTTTTTTTTTTCCTGGTCATGTATTGTCTGCTTTCCAGCTCTTTCAGCCACTGCTTCCATAGTTCATATTCCCATCCCAATGCTTTTCACTCCAGTTTAGCATCACCTTCAGACACAAATGCCTCCCCTTGTTTTCCTGTCTATCTTCTTGGGTTTCTTATACTTTCAAAATCGGCATGCCAGATTGCTGGTGATTTTAACTCCCCCCCCCTTTTGTTCTATCACTGGAAATACGGTAGGCCAGATAGTCAATTTTACATGCCTACCTGACATCAGACCTTTACAGAGGAAAAAAAAAACCACTGACAGTTTTTATGTTCTAGGACACTTCATCCTTCCACAGGTATGTACCCAATAGTTCTATTGCTGATGAAGATGATGTCTTTCCAAATATAGTCAATTTCTGTCAGAATCCAATCATATTTCATCTTTAATTATCAAATATAGAAACTCCCAATTCTGCCTTCTTTGGATTCTGCCATAAGAGGGAGAGAAGGGGGAGAACAAAAGGGCTTTATGGCCCTCACTTCCTTCAGTAGACTTCAAAGAGCTGAATGCTGAATGTGTGTTTATTGTAACCTATTGTAACCTCAAAGCGTTAACACCAGAGAACATTAGCATTAACAAAGAAGAGTATTTGCCTTTCATGTAGTTATCTGAAGTCTCCATCCAGACGGAAGAAAGAAGAAACGGGGTGGAATTGTGATACTTGAAACTATCACTGGAAGGGGGGTTGATTGGGTGGGACTACTGGGGAACCCCTTAAAACCTTGAATGGGAGAGCTTGGACCCCAAGTCCTGTCTAGCATGCCTGCAACCATTTTCTCTTAATAAAGGATTCCTGTTGGAAGAACTATTCCAAGAGTTCTGTCTTCTTAAGATGCAAAGTGGGGTGGGTCCTTACATTAGACAGGACTTGCAAAATTAATCCACCTGGAAGGTAGACCCTTGCCGGGGGATTTTGCAAAAATTTACCATGTCAGACAACGAAGCAAGAGAGGGAGAAAACTCCCTGGAAAGAGAGCCGCTGACCCAGTTGGAACCTTGCCAGATGTTGGGATCCGAGAGGCCAGATTTCTCAGAAGAAGAAGTGGTGGAGACACAGGACCACAAGCCTCGCTGGTCGATGGGCGTTGGAAAGAAAAGCGAGTGGGGAAAGGAATCAAGAAAAGTGACCCTGAGACGGGGGACCAAGCAACCAGAATGGAAGCAGGAGATGGAGAAATCCCTGCACGCAAGTGAAGAGGGAGGAAGCTGTATGCCGTACTCAGACTGGATCCTAGAGAGAGCTATTGACCTGATGAAGAGAACTCTCAGCTCCCTAGGAGAGGAGATTCCTGAGCCCTACGCCCGCCCCAGTTCCTGGAGCCACAAAGGGAGAGACACCGAGGGGGACGTGGAACCTGCAACCCCAGGGACATTTACTGATCCAGGAGCTCCCACCCCCTACCGGACCCAAGATGGAAATCTGGACGGAAGACACTACCACCCACAATGGAGGCACCGATCCATTCCAAGACGTCCACCGTTGGAGGTGAAATTCAAAGGGGAGCCAACACGCTTGGGGTTTTTCCTAACCCAAGTCCTCAGCTACATGGAGGAATATGGGCAGGACATCCCCAGCGACAAAGCCCGCATCCGGATCGTGCAATCTGCCCTGGATGGACCAGCTGCAGATTGGGTGGTGAACCTGCATGACTCCAATGCCCCAGAACTCAGTAACTTCAACCGTTTCATGTCCTCTTTGAGAAGACGATTTGAAGACCCCCTGGCTGATCGCAAAGCCCGTGAAAGAATAACAACGATGAGGCAGGGCAAACGCCCAGTGGCTGAGTATACACAAGAATTCCGAGCCATTGCCAGCAAACTGAATTGGCCAGAAGACATCCTCCTTGGCCGTTTCAAAGACGGACTAAACTATGATCTATATGATGCTTGCCTGCCCCGAGGAGACCCACATCGACTTGAGGAATGGTACGTCTTGGCAGAGGAAGCAGAGATCGACATATTGAAGAGGCATCGCCGAGGAAAACAATGGAGCCGCCCCCCGCCTGAGCTGACACACCAACCGGTGAAATCATCGGATACAGCCAAGAAGCAGATGGGGTGTTTCAAGTGCGGAAGAGAAGGGCATCGAGCTGTAGAATGCCGCTCAAAGGCCCCCCAGCACAACCCAGACAGATCCCCAATCAACAAACCCAGAGGGTATTCAGCTAAGCCAAAAGAAACAGCCATGAAAATGATGGAAATTGCAGAAACCCCCACCTCTGCTCACCAAGGGGAAAGAACTCCAGCCTACACCACAGGGACGGTGGATGCCTCAGATGACAGCTCGGAAGGCGAACCCCTGGTAAGTGGACGCATCACACCCATCTTCAAAACAGTGACTATATTAATCCCCCCCATGCCCGAAGCTGTGAAGGTGAAAGCCTTAATAGACTCTGGCTGCACCCGCTGCCTCATTAGCCCAACACTAGTGGGGAATCTGGGCATCCCATCCAGGAGACTGGAACAACCAATCTCATTTGGCCAGCTAGATGGATCCATAGCAGGGGGGGTGCCAGCTACCCTAGCCACTCTGCCAATACACCTCTCCCTGGGCAACCATGAAGAGGACTTAACGTTTGTGGTGACCCCAGGTATGGAATGCCCAATGATTCTAGGGATGGAATGGTTGAAAAAATGGAACCCCTGGGTAAATTGGAGGACGACAGAAATCAAATTCCCGAAGGGGGACCCTATGGACTTAAAACCCCAAGAGAGGCTACCAGAATCAAGAATAGAAAAAGCATCCATAGGAGAGGAAAAAAGATTAACAGAAATACCAGAGGAATATAGGGACCTTGCTGAAGTCTTCAGTGAGGAGAGGGCGAATGAGCTTCCCCCCCACCGACCCACAGACTGTACCATTGAATTCAAGCCTGGGGCAAAACTCCCGAAACCCAGATTATACTCCATGAGCCCAAAGGAGAAGGAGGAAATGGAAAGATTTATAAAAAAAAACCTGGAGAGAGGTTTCATTGAACCAGCTAAGCCTAAAGTGGCTGCCCCGGTCCTTTTTAGAGAGAAGAAGGATGGCTCTTTACGTTTATGCGTGGATTATAGGGCCCTGAACACAATCAGTGAAAGCAACCTATACCCGCTGCCCCTCATGAAAGACATGCTGTCACACCTATCGAAAGGGAAAATTTTTTCTAAACTAGACTTAAGGGAAGCTTACTATCGCGTGAGAATCAAGGAAGGGGACGAATGGAAGACTGCATTTAACTGCCCCATGGGGTGCTATCAATTCAAAGTCTTGCCATTTGGATTACAAGGGGGCCCTGCAGTCTTTATGCAATTAATCAATGACGTTCTAAGGGAGCACCTGTTTAAGGGGGTCCTTGTTTACTTGGACGACATTCTTATCTTTACCGAAACAAAAGAAGAACACGTCAAACTTGTCAGAGCGGTTTTAAAGAAGCTGCGAGCCGCTCACCTATATGCCAAACTCTCAAAATGCGAATTCCACCAGGAAAGGATAGACTACCTAGGCTATCGCATATCCCCACAGGGCATTGAAATGGACCCAGAGAAGGTCAGAGCAGTATTAGAATGGGCACCACCCCACACAAGAAAGCAACTACAAAGTTTCCTGGGCTTTGCAAATTTTTACCGCCAATTCATCCCCTCATTTGCACAGATAGCCTTGCCCCTCACCAACTTACTAAAAACGAAGGGAACATCCTCAGTAAAACCTAGCCAGCCACTAACATGGACAATGGAGTGCCAAGCAGCGTTTGAGAGACTAAAGAGACTTTTTTCTGCCGAACCAGTACTAAGGCACCCAGACATGGACAAGCCCTTCATAATACAGGCAGATGCAAGTGATGTGGCAGTGGGGGCTGTGCTATTACAAGAAAATGATGATGCAGTATTGCAACCCTGTGCATATACATCCAAGAAACTCACGGAAACAGAACAGCGCTGGCCCGTATGGGAGAAGGAGGCTTATGGGATACGTTGGGCATTACTCACATGGCGACAGTTCCTGGAAGGCAACAAAATCCCCTTCCAGGTGTGGACTGATCACAAAAATTTAGAAGCCCTGAAAACTTCCAGGAAACTCAATCCCAAACAAGCCCGCTGGTCCCAGCATTTTCACCAATTCCAATTTAAGCTCAAACATTTACCAGGAAGAAAGAACTTCCTGGCAGATGCACTATCTCGCATGCCCCAATATAACAGCGCACGAACCACAGACTCTAGACCAATAATGGCAGAGTCACAACTGGCAGCACCAGTAACCACAAGAACCCAAGCCAAATTAAAACCACAACTGGACAGCCAAACTGGAATTGAATTCAGAAAAAGTTTGGAAACAGATGATTGGTTCCAGAAAAACAAAAATGTGTGCACAATGAGAGACGGGTTGCCTTGGATAGGGGAAAAGTTATATATACCAACAACTCAAAGAGTAATTTTCATGCACCTTTGCCATGACACAAAATCAGCAGGGCATTTTGGATTTGTAAAAACTTTACATTTAATTAAACGGCAATTTTGGTGGCCATCCATGAAAAAGGACATTGAAAGTTATATAGCCAGTTGTCCAAAATGTGCCACGGCAAAGAGGTTGCAAGGGAAAGTGCCAGGACTATTGCAAACAGTGGCAAGTCCCTCAGCCCCCTGGAGAGAAATAGCCATGGATTTTATAGTGGAATTGCCAGAAAGCAATGGGAATACTGTGGTCTGGACGGTCACGGACTTGTTTTCCAAACAGGTGCACTTTATCCCTTGCCAAAAGATTCCCACTGCAAAAGCCTTAGCAAAACTTTTCATCCAACACATTTACAGATTGCATGGGGCACCCCAACGCATCATCTCTGACAGGGGGGTGCAATTTACGTCTGCATTTTGGAAGGAATTTTTATCCCTCTTAGGAACCACTCAGGGACTGACATCTAGCCACCACCCTCAGGGAAATGGGGGGGCTGAAAAAATGAACTCAGTACTTAAGCAATATTTAAGATGTTTTCTTAGTTTCCAGCAGACCGAGTGGGCGGACTTACTCCCTTTTGCAGAAGTTGCCTACAATAATGCAGTCCACTCCAGCACAGGTTACACTCCTTTTCAAATAGCCACCGGTCAAAGTTTCAACCCCATGCCAGAATTAACCCCAAACGAACCAACGATCCCCTCGCTGAAAGAATGGATGGAAAAATTACAAAACACCTGGCCAATAGTCAGAAAAGCACTAGATGAAGCTAGGCAGGCTTACAAAACACAAGCCGATAAAAAAAGGGTTGAGCCTACACCATTCATTATAGGAGAAATGGTGTACTTATCTACAAAATACCTAAAGTCCCTACAGCCCTGTAAAAAACTTGGACCAAAATATATAGGACCTTTTCCAATTAAAAGAATCATAAATCCAGTAACAGTAGAATTAGAATTACCCAAAAATCTCAGGCAAATACACCCAATTTTTCATTGCAGCTTGCTGAAAAGAGAGCATCAGTCACCTCTACGGCCAAAAATCCCCCCCCCACCACCTCCAATCATGGTGGAGGGTGAACAACACTTCGAAATAAAGGAAGTCCTTGACTCTAGGAGATATCATGGAGCAACTCAGTACCTAGTTGCCTGGAAACACCTCCCTCCCTCACAAAATGAGTGGGTCCATAAACGTCATGTCAGAGCCCCGAAGCTATTGAAGAAGTTTCACACAGAGTATCCTAACAAGCCTGACTAAATTTTATACTTGTGTTTTCTTTCAGGTGGATCTCTCTTATTTTTAAGAGGGGCCGGATGTCAGAATCCAATCATATTTCATCTTTAATTATCAAATATAGAAACTCCCAATTCTGCCTTCTTTGGATTCTGCCATAAGAGGGAGAGAAGGGGGAGAACAAAGGGGCTTTATGGCCCTCACTTCCTTCAGTAGACTTCAAAGAGCTGAATGCTGAATGTGTGTTTATTGTAACCTATTGTAACCTCAAAGCGTTAACACCAGAGAACATTAGCATTAACAAAGAAGAGTATTTGCCTTTCATGTAGTTATCTGAAGTCTCCATCCAGACGGAAGAAAGAAGAAACGGGGTGGAATTGTGATACTTGAAACTATCACTGGGAAGGGGGGTTGATTGGGTGGGACTACTGGGGAACCCCTTAAAACCTTGAATGGGAGAGCTTGGACCCCAAGTCCTGTCTAGCATGCCTGCAACCATTTTCTCTTAATAAAGGATTCCTGTTGGAAGAACTATTCCAAGAGTTCTGTCTTCTTAAGATGCAAAGTGGGGTAAATCACAACAATCAGAAAGCAAAGCATATATACTATGAAAGGAGTATGGGGACTCTAAATGAGCCAAAGGGCAGTCTGAATTGGCCCCAAACATTTAAAAAAACCTTCAGCCTGGGAAGAAATATAATCACATGTAAGTTCAGAAAAATAAACAGTATAACAATATACTTACTTTGTAACTATTTCTGGGTGCCGTGCTAATTCCATGATAGTAAAAGATAACTGATTGGCAGTGGTATCGTGACCTATGGAAAATAACAATTTATTAACTGAAAAAATACAGTGATAGCTTAAAATAATCAAATTATAACCATAGCCCAACTTAAAATATTTCCAGTGGAGTGACAACAATATTGCCAGGAATCGTGAGTTTATGACATTAATAACACAATCTCGTACCCCCAAAATTATGTTAAAGTAGTGTTAAGAGTAAAAACAGACTCAGAGGCAAAGAACCACCACTACCCCAGACTCTTTAAAAATATAACTATAAATGTCCAACTTTATTAATCAATATTTATAGAATGTGACCAGAGAAAAGCCATCCATCAGTGATCCCACATATTAAAACAGATGCCAGCAGGTTTTTGCTTGTTTATTCTAAGAGAGAATAACAAAATGACATAAAATATACACAAACAGTTCAGTAAGCTTTTGAGTAAACAAGTCTTTCCTGGGCTACAGAGTAGCAAAGCTATCCAATCAACATCTCCCTTACAGGATCTATTTGAGCAGCTGCAACTCAGTAGCCAGGAAGAAAAATGAGAATTCAGTGAGCCTACTCCAAGCTCTATACAGCACCAGCATTTGCACGATGGCACAAGATCGCAGGATGGTGTAGTTGATATGGGAGCAACCTGTATGTGAAGTGCCTACGGTTTTCAGCAACCTAATTTTAAGTATGAATGCCTTTACATTTATCTGAAATTTAAAACACCTAAGCAAAATTCAGAAAGCTGGCTATTGATGCTTGTTTCCCTGACAAGGTAAGAATCTGTTCGGTTCAGTATAGCTATGTGCATCCCAACTTCCCTTCCAGAATAAGCAAGATTATGCAAAAGTACAGAGAACGAGAAAGAAATAGAAAGCCAAAGAAATTAAATCATAAGAAAAGGAAACAGCTTGATCTAGTTTGCACCAACACTTCTCCATACCTTTCTAGCTTAGCAAACTATCCTTGCTTTCATAAAATCCATGTAGCTTCAGGCACTATTGTGCCACTTTATAATTCTTTTTACTCTGTTCCAAGCAAATTTCAAATCTTCCTCTACATCCATCTCCCATTAATTTTTGTTGGGAGGTTAATCTATTATCCTTAGGCAAATCATTAACATTTTGGTCCTGGTGTCAGCAAAAAGTCTGTCAAGGATTCCCAGAATTTCATAGCAATGTCTTGTTTTAACTGTTGTCAAACAAACCAAAATGTACTCCTTCCTTTTGCTTATAGCAATCTTGATCTTTAATTCATTCAGATGTTATTGTAGATTAGATCTCTCTGCATTTTTTCTTTTACCCATCCAAAGGTTTTTGAGACTTTAGTAAAGAGGTCCCTAACTTTTTTGGCTACCAGGGACCGGTTCCGTGGAGAGAGGTTTTTCTGTGGCGCAGAGGGGGCGTTGTTTTGTGTGCTGCCTGCATCCCACGGATGGGTTTTGCTTGTTTGTGCAGACCAGTTGCTGGCATGCTGCGGCCCGGTACATTTAGTAAACTTTTTTGGTAAATCTACTAAAGTGTCATTATCCAGGTCTTTCTCTTGGCTTATCATTTATATTTGCACTTTAACTGTCATCTCTATCTTATAATTCACATTTCTTTTTTATTTTCCAATATTTCAAAAAAAAATTTTTTGCATCTTTAAATTTGCAAGCTTATCATTAATTTTTCTTTTATTCTGAATAAATGATTTGACCCCAGTCAGTCATTACAGCTTTGATTAACTGGGGCTTCCAAATTGTGCTTTTTAGTAAGTTAGAGACACTGAAGAACAACTTAGTTGAACCTGTACCACATGCAGCATTTCTGCTTACATTAAGAGTAGTAAAGTCCAACCAAAGTCCAGTTTTTATCCCAAGCAAGTCTACTTTGCAAGCCAACTGCTGTCCATATCTCACCAATTCAGAAGCATTTACAGTGTACTGGCATACTCTTGGAAGACATTTTTCTTGTTAAATTGGGATAGCTGTAAATTGAAAAGGTACTAGATTTACAAACCTGCAACAAAAAAGGTGAGAAAGTTGTCTATCATATTTTCATCGTCAGATTCCTCCTGATCTGTCACAGACAAGAAAGTAACAGAAGAAAGCATTATACCTCTACTAAAGGATATTAATACAAGTTCTGCAGCATTTAAAAAATACCTACCTTGGAAGTATAATTGGGCTACTCAAAGAAATATCAGATGAACAAAAGGGAAGAGATATTAAAGATATTAGAGAATGCATAAAACCAGTTCTATTTATTATTCTAATTTCTATTCTAATTCCAGATGCAAGACACACAAGCAGAAAATAATTCTCAAAATATTTTATAAAAATGCAATCTTATTAAATTTCATTTTGACATTTTTAATGAAAAATTTAATTAAACTATACAATATAAATACACTCATAGTCTTAAAAAGTTCATTTTAAGATTTTGAAAAATCTAGTGAAGAAACACTACAGTAATTTTCTTGTTTGCATTGTCATAATGACTCTCTTTGATTAACTGAACTTTTGAAAATAAAGGACACTCCCTCTCTTCAATTGGTTCAAAAATTGAAGGTTTTTATTATCTAATTAATAATCTTCATAAACATTTCTTGGGAAATTGTGTGATCAAGCTTCTGAAAGTAAACCAAAGCAGAACAAACAGAAAGAGTTATCTGTAGTTTTGACATGCATTTATATCTAGAGGCAAAAACATTGCAGGATGGCAATGACATCTACATTTGATATCAAGTTGGAAAAGTAGTATGTAAACAATTCTGCACTAGGCAAAACAATACATATTTCTATTTCCTTAAAGGTATGAAAAAGTGAGAAAGTATATAATAGGGTTTTTTTTTCTTCCGCTTAGAGTTTATAACTGCTGGTTGCTTCTTTGTGTGATCTCTCCTATTTGCATTTTGAATTTTCTTTATAACTTTACTTTGGTCCGAACATTGTTGTTTGGTTAACTGTCTTTCAAAGAAAAAATTCTCAGGATATAATCCATCCATAAAATGGGTTTCTTCCAAAGAAGTATTGTTTGGGAACCTGTGGCACAGCATCTGTCAGCTTCTAGAACACAGGTGTCAAACTTGCCATTTCACGTGACATATTGCAACGTATCATGACTCTTTTTGCATTGCCAGCAATGAGGTGGGCATGGCTTCAGTATGATGAAACCGGCCCGTGGGAGGCAGTTTGACACCCTGTTCTAGAATGTGAACCCAATGCACTGTGGGTTTCTGTAGAAAATTGAAATTACTATAAAATATTAATCTAATCAAAGTGGCAAATGCATAGTTATTAAGCTTCTTCCAGAAAACAATTGTATACCTGCACTCTTCAATATCTGAGTGAGAATATCTAATGGGACAGGTTCTTCATTCTGGATGGCCTTGAGCCTTTGTGTGATACACTCCTTTCCAGTGCAACGCAGCAATCTGACACTTTCACGAATCTCCTGCACCTCTTTTCTATTCCTCGGCAGGTACTAAGCAAATAACAAAAATCGTCATAAGAAGGAGAGCTTTCTTTTAACATTATTATTAAGAGATTGTCAGCATGAATGGTTATTGCTAAAGTCTAAATCAGTGTTTCTCAACCTTGACAATTTTAAGGCATGTGGACTTCAACTTCCAGAATTCTGGGAGTTGAAGTCCACGTGCCTTAAAATTGTCAAGGTTGAGAAACACTGGTCTAAATACATGGTTAAATTCTAGTTAAGGAAAAACAGCCCACAATTCCTACAAAATATTATCAGAAGTAGTGCTTACATTACAGAACTTTGTAAATATATCATTTTAATACGGGTTGGGGATTTGTAGACCTGAACATATAAATTTTTCTTGTACACAATTTTTTACACTTTGTTTTCTTGTTCTTTGTTTCTTATTAGGTATGTCCAAAGCACTCAGCATGCAAACTGTTTTGTGCATAGATCAGGTATTTCTTTCAGTGTTTCTCAACCTTGACAATTTTAAGGCATGTGGACTTCAACTCCCAGAATTCCAATGCTGGCTGTGGAATTCTGGGAGTTGAAGTCCACATGCCTTAAAATTGTCAAGGTTGAGAAACACTGTTAGATAGTCCATGCCTGGACCAATCATACATAATTAATTCAGATACATTTTCAGTCCAGCCAGATCCTATTTCACACTCATTATGCAACTTAGCTCTCTCAGCAAGGCTATAAATCTGGGAAAAGGAAAGCTGCTTCATTGAGCTTCTCAGCCGGAACTTGACACTCTTGCAGTTCTGATCTCATATCCTCTCCTACTCCATAAATATACAAAAGCACACACTTACAGTAACAGTATAACAGAGTTGGAAGGGACTTTTGAGATCTTCTATTCCAACCCCCTCTTCAGCAAAAGACCCTATACCATTCAAGACAAATGGCTGTCTAATCTCTTCTTAAAAATCTCCAGTGAGGGAACGCCCACAACTTCTGGAGGCTAGCCATTCCACCGATTAATTGTTCTCATTGTGAGGAAATTTCTCTTTAGTTCTAGGTAGGATCTGTCACTGATAATTTTCCAAATGTTACTTCTTGTCTGGCCTTCAGGTACTTTGAAGAATACGTTAATTCCCCTCCTCTGTGGCAGTCCCTGAAATATTGGAAGACTGCTATTTTTAATTATATACCTTCAATCATGAACTTATCATGTTTTACTACAGCACAGCTAGCCTGATTTCTCCAAGGTGCCACCCCTCCCCCCCAGATGTGCCTCCCTAGCCAGCAAAGTCAACACTTGGTGTTACAGAACTGTTAGTGTAATTGCATAGACTGTCAGCTTCACCACTCAGCAAGGAACAGAAGAAAACAACCTGCTCAAACAACACAGAGAACAATATTTTTGGGCTCCCACTGCTGCAATTGCTGATTGGAGACTTATGGCATTTGCATTATGAACAGCTAAAGGCCAAAATAATGAGTAAAGGCCACCATCTACTTTTGACCAACAACAGGACAGCTTTGAAAAGAGGAAGAGAAAAGTCTATGCTGACCTGGAAAAATGGATTTCGTTCCTTGCTCACCCCTTTCATGACCATGGAAACTGCATGAGGAAAAGGTGTTTTATCACAGTGTAGCGTGTTTAGTTCCAGGCCAAATGCCACCTGATAATATTGAGAAAAATGAGCAGAATGAGAAATCTTTGTTTATAGTTCTTGCTTCTGAGAATGGCAACTGTAGATAGCACTAGCTCAATACAGTAATGTAAAACTCTGCAACTAAGCAAAGGATATAGAAAAAACAAGCTCTAAGTATAATATGGCATGCATTTTTTTATGAATAGCGCCTAGCTATGCTTTAACTAATTGTAAAGCCATACTCAGATAAAACTACCTAGTGAAGTAAAACATGAATTTTCCCAAGCTCTTTGCTTTTTTGTGAAACATGTTATGACAAAACCCTTCTGATTATGGCCATGTGCTGGCATCTGCATTACAGATATTTTCTTCTTTTACTGGGAGCAAGGAATTTATTTGCCTTTGCAATGATGTCCAGGGCCAACCGTCTGAGCAGGTTCATCATATCCACTTCAGTCTCTCCATCTGCTTTTTCATTCAGCACTTTCATGAGGTCTTCTGCTTGGTCATTAAAGATCTCCATCAAACCAATCAAGTAACTGTGCAACGAAAGATACGTTGCTTTCAAAACAGCTTTTTCTTGTGTACAAAAAAATAGATTTATAAATTAAGTCAAGAGAGACACTACAGTATAACCCATTAGGAAAAATGTACACTATAATTACACATATACTTCAGGTTTATTAAATATCCTTATGTCCATTAAATAAACTAATAAAAGAATATCTCCTATCTACCCTCCTATCACATACATGTATTCCGAATATTCACATAGTTTTAAACATTATATAGAAACAGAAGAATACAGTATGAGAATAAAATAAATTTCACTGCATAATCAGAATTATGTACAGTAATTAATTCTATTTGAAATGATACTTCTTAAAAATAGCTTATTCCAAGAAATTTTCCCCTTTACTTTCGACTGAATGCTGGATCCATAATTCTTCGCTGTTTGTGCCAATGATTATAGTCAAGATCAGTTGCCAAACCATTCCCTAAAAATCTGAAAAAGGAGAGGGGGGAAAAATTATGTATTACTTTTCAGCCAGTTTCAATAACCTATTCTGCCCACAAAATCATGCTTGGGGAAAAAAGAGTGTGCCAAGGAGTTTAATTTCTCTCTTACATGCTGGCTTCCTTTTAGCATAATCTGGCAAACTAAGGTTAACATTAACTGGAAATCATGGTATGTACAGTAGTAAGACCTCTGCTAAAAATTCCAATTTGATGGTAGTGGATGTCAATGGAAATAATAATTTATTAAACTTGTACACTGCTTAACTCTTAATGACTCAGGGTGGCTCACAATAATCAAAGAAATTACAATAAAATTAATTAAAATAAAGATAAAAGATCTTTATCTCAATTTATTTCATTCCAATTCAGGAACAGAAAGAATCTTGGTGGACAATACATGCTAAAAGTTTCAATTAAAAATAAGACTTGAATACATTTTGATTCAACATGGTCAGATGCTGCTGACTGTGACAATCTTCTATAGTGCCTTACTGATCTAATATTTAGAGGCTTAGACTGTCTGTTTAGGGCCTTGGTTTCATCTTATTGTTTGGTGAAATTTTTCAGGTAAATCAGCACTTCAGAGTTTGTTGTCATCAATATATTAATTCATATTGAGATTGGATAGTAATTTTCATCGAAGATTTTTGCTATAGGTGAAATATATTTACAGAGTAATCTTGGGAATTAGGTTTTCCTGATCAACCATTAATGCATTTTAATATGTCATATATTATTTTGCTTTAGCTTACCTTACACCAAACATATTGTAAAGTCGGCCATATATCCTTGCATCCTTTGAATACTGTGATGACATCAGATATTCCTAAAATTAAATTCCTCTGTTCAGTCCTCTACTGAGTATGTTTAATGTTGTTATATCAATCTTAACAATAAATTTTTGGAGAGTATATATAGAAGTTTAAGGAGAATTGTGAGTCCTTTTTATTGTCTCAGGTTTGGATACAGTATTAATATATATATTTGAAATGAAGTGAGGAGTACGAATACTTTGTTAATACTGCTAAAATCCATGCACCCTCTCAAAACCTCATGTACCCTCCTCAAGCAGTGCCTCTCATGCATCCCTCTGAACTCACCTTGACCCTCTCCACCCTTCTCTCGCACTCTCCCCGAGCTGCACCCACAAACCCTGCACCTCTGGTGCACCCTCATAGACTCCCCTCCATCCTTCCCAACCCATACAATCTTGCACAGCCTCCCTCGCCCGCACTGCCTTTTGTACACCTTTTACACCCTCATGTACCTCCCTGACCCTCATCACATCATTCCTGTGCCTCCTGAACCCGATGCACTCTTGCTGTGCCTCCCAAACTACAGTACATCTCTTGCACACTCTATGTGGCACTTTCACTGACTTCGGTTGTGAGAAGCTGGCAGGAATTTGCCTCGCCTAACAGGGGATTCAGTTAACAGTGACAATCCTGACTGCAGAGTACTTATGCCTGTTATATCAGTTTTGAAGCAAACTGCAAAAGAATGCTCAATTTTCACATACCTTTACTCCTTCAGGACTTAATATTATTAATGAGACTCTATGAAAAGCATTAAAACGTATAACTGGTCCATATTTCTCAGCCCTATGAATGCAAAAATGTTAGTTAACTTAATTTTTTTAGCATTTATATAGTTACAAATCCTGAAACACTAAATTACATCACATTCAAGTATTGTTTCTTTAAGAATGATAATTTCTAGTATTCTATTTTTTATTAATACTGGTAGTCCTCAACTTACGTCTACAACTGAACCCAAAATTTCTATTGCTAAGCAAGATGGTTGCTAAATGAATTTTGCCCCATTTTACGACCTTTCCTGCTACATCTGTTAACTGGATCACCACAGTTATTAATAGTAATACAGTTGCTAAGTGAAACTGGCTTCTCTAGTGACTTTGCTTGTCAGAAGATCACAAAAGGTGATCACATGACCCAGGACACTGCAACTGTCATAAGTATAAGTAGCCAAGTTTCTGAATTTTGATCACATGACTACAGGGATGCTGCAACAATTGTGTGAAAAATGATCATAAACCACTTTTTTCAGTGCCACTGTAACTTCAAACGGTCACTAAATGAACTGTTGTTAAGTCGAGATACCTGTATTTCATTTTATCAGAAGATTATTGGTTATGGTTTTCCTAAATTACTATTTTTATAAATTTAGATTTAAAATACCTAACAAATCCAAATGGAGGCTTAGGACTCAAAATACAGGCAACTGAGATCTATGAAGCAGCAATATAGATTTCAATTACTGTAATTCAAAATAGCTACTTTCAAGCCATGTGATCTTTCAAAAAACTTACCACTTCAGAAAGAGATCATGTATCAGTTCCTTGTTCTTCACCATTCTCCAGAAGATTGGCAAGTGACCGAAGAAAAAACTGTAACATTTGAAAAAAAACCCAGGTTTTTAAATGTGCACATTACCACCCAAAAACAAAATACCATAAGAGAAGGGAGGACAAAATGGAGATTGCTGTTGAGTTCCATAAGGCAATTTCACAGTAAAATGCATAGCAAGGCATGCATGGTTCAATTTTCTTTCACTGAAAAAGATGGAACTGCAGGCAAGCAGATTTACATGGGGAGGAACCCCAGGAAAAAGAGTGCAAACAATAAAGCTCATGTTAGAGCTGCATGAAGATGCATGCCATCTCCAGAAGTCAAGAAAGAATACAAAAAACAGGTTCTGTCACCAGACAATGGTACATAATAGGTAACAACATTTGCTAAAGAAATTTATTCAAATCAGTTCCTAAAATATGCTGCTTTTGAATCGCTTTGTGTCTAACAATACAAATTGTGATAGCTCTTGCTTTATGAATGACCAGCTCCAGCTCCAGCAAATTCCTTGCTGCGTGAATTTAAACAGAACTCTCAACTACTGGATTTGTCTGGAGAGTTCTATGCCATGGCGTTTTCAACTAAGAATCTACCACATGGATTCAGGAAGTAATTTCTGATCAGAAGAGTAAAAGGTGAAATAGAAGCTTATATCAGAAAAAAAAAAAATCCAGTGAGTTACAGTGAAAGCTTCCAAACAAAAAAAGACTGATTAGAATAAGTATTGAACTCCAATTTGCCTTATTTCTTCTTAATGGATTTTCCTAATGCATAAGGAAAAATATAGAATAATTGCTAAAAAAAATACAAGAGACTTTCAAATGGAAAATATTGGTTTTGCATATATGAGTTATGGTATGGACTAAGCATATTTGTTGTAAGTCACAGTTGTTGGATTCACGCGTCATATATACCACAGGGATTAGTTTACAAATTTTCAAGGACTACATTCACTCAAGAGACCAAGCAAAACAAAACAAATGACTTAGTGGAGTAATAATAATAATAATAATAATAATAATAATAATAATAATAATAATAATAATAATAAAGATGGAAGGGACCTTGGAGGTCATCTAGTCCAACCCACTGCTCAGGCAGGAAACCCTATACTATTTCAGACAAATGGCTGTCCAGTTTCTTCTTAAAAACTTCCAGTGTTGAAGCATTCACAGCTTCTGGAGGGAGGTTGTTCCACTGATTAATTGTTCTGTCAGGAAATCTCTCTTTAGTTCTAGATTGCTTCTCTCTTTGGTTAGTTTCCATCCAATGCTTCTTGTCCTGCCTTCAGGTATTTTGGAGAATAGCTTGACTCCCTCTTCTTTGTGGCAGCCCCTGAGATATTGGAACACTGCTATCAAGTCACCCCTCTTCATTAGACTAGACATACCCAATTCCAGCAACTGTTCCTTGTATGTTTTAGTCTCCAGATCATCTTTGTTGCTCTTCTCTGTACTTTTTCTAGAGTCTCAGCATCTTTTTTACATCGTGATGACCAAAAGACATTTGAGGCCAGCCTAATGTCTTCCAGCAGATTAATATTGGTTATTAAAATGTACAAAAGAAAAAAAAGTGGGAAAAATGAGTGGGGGGGGTGCAGAAATAGAGTAACTCTAGTCTAGGGAGACCATAAAGATACAGAGAAAAGTGATGTGGATGAATCTTGCTTCTGGATTTTCAATAAAGGAGAATATTTGTAGCTCAGGATTTAAAATGAGGGGTCTTTGATGTTCTCTGAGCTTGGTTGTTTTTTTTTTTTGCAGACGTTTTATTAGCAAACTAGGTAACATCATCAATGGTAGGGGCTAGCACTGCATAACAAAATAACATAATCACAGAGTTGGAAGGGACCTTAGAGGTCTTCTAGTCCAATCCCCCCCTGCTCAGGCAGGAGATCCTATAGTGGCTGTCGAGACTCTTCTTAAAAGCCTCCAGCGATGGAGCAACCCCAAGTTCTGAAGCCATTCCACCGTTTGGTTAATGAAACGTCTGCAAGAAAACAACCATGCTCAGAGAGCACCAAGAACCCCTCCGGATTTTCAATTATTGACGTGACAGTAGTGCACAGCGCGCAACTCTTGAATTACCGCAGCCGACTACAGGTTGCCAGCCAGCCGATCCATCGGAGGGAGTCCGCCTTTCCGAGCACGTACAGGGAGCATATTTCAAAGGCTTTGGGGGATGAATGAGCCTCAGCCTTGCCGTCCACAGCTGCTCTTACCTCGCCCTTGGAGCGCCGGGGATGTGATCGTATTTTATATGAACTACTTTAATGTAGCAACAGTAGAGGCCCAACATCAAAAGGGGGACAGCCAGCAACAGTTGCCAAAAGGTCCACATCGCTTCCATAATAGACTGCGAATCCGTCTTGAGACAACACAGAGACAAACGCATTACCGATTGTGCGCTGGTTTGCCCCCTTCCCAGGACGGGAGCTCTGTGGGACGGGCGGAGACCCCAAGAAGAGCCTTATGTAACGTCATGTGGTGGTAACGCCTAAAAGGGAGGCGTCAAAGTCAATCTCGAAGTCTGACCTTAGCGATTTTAAGATGTGTGACTTCAACTCCCAGAATTCCGCAGCCAATATGGATGATTGAGGAATTCTGGAAGTTGAAGTCCACAATCTTTAAAGAGGCTGAGGTTGCGAACCACTGCTTTAATTGTCTGTAGCTGTTGTGGGCGTGGTCATTGGCCTGGCCCAGCAGAGACGTCCCCATTGAATGACATCATCGCAGCTACCAATTACCGCTCCCGAATAACCGTAGAACCGCTGAGTGTGGTCTAAAGCTTGGTGCGCTTTTTGTTCGTTGCGTCCCTCGTGGTTTTCGTATTTTACTGCAGCTGTATAAACACCGACTACGTGAATCATGATCATATTACCTGCGCTCCAAAGGCGAGGAAGCAGAAGCTGCGGTGCAAATCTGCAGAGCCAGTTGCTTCTTCTTCGGTGTGCTTTATTAAGTTTGTGTTATTGTCTTTTAAGTTTTACTATGGCTTGCGGCTCAATACTCTGGATCCACCATAGAAAGCTCGCATGCACTATAGATGTGGGCACGCTGAAACATTCTTATTCATTCACTTCCTGGAGGTTCTTAACCCCTAAGTTCCGCTGTCAGTGAGAATCTTAGATTTCTCACCTGGTCAAAGAATGCAATAAGATTTGTCTGGCATGATCTCTTTTTGAAAAACCCATGTTGGCTTTTAGTTATGACTTTGCCTCTAGGTGTTCACTGATTGGTTGCTTGATTATCTTTTCCAGACAGGTGCTCAGTTACCATTTTCTTGCCTATCTTAACTTGTATTTCTAATCTGTTTTTTGCAGTACTGTTTTTGATAGATTGGACTGTTTTTTCCTTTTATGTAAAGACAGATGCAAACAACGAATTAAGCAGTTCTGCTTTCTCTCTGTTGCTCGTCACCTTCTTGCCACTTTCTCCAACTAATGGAACAATTGTTTCCTTGACTTTTTACTTGTTTTTTACATTTTTTACTTTTGTCACAAGCTTTAGTTCATTTTGAGCCTTGGCTTTCCTCACTTCATCTTTGCAGCCTCGGGCTATATGTAAAAAAAAAAAAGCAGACCAAGATAATAATAATAATAATAATAATGATGATGATGATGATGATGATGATGATGATGATGGAAGGGACCTTGGAGGTCATCTAGTCCAACCCATTGCTTAGGCAGGAAACCCTATACCATTTCAGACAAATGGCTGTCCAGTCTCTTCTTAAAAACTTCCACTGTTGGAGCATTCACCACTTCTGGAGGCAGGTTGTTCCACTGGTTAATTGTTCTAACTGTCAGGAAGTTTCTCCTTAGTTCTAGATTGCTTCTCTCCTTGATTAGTTTCCATCCAATGCTTCTTGTCCTGCCTTCAGGCGCCTTGGAAAATAGCTTGACTCCCTCTTCTTTGTGGCAGCCCCTGAGATATTGGAACACTGCTATCATGTCCCCCCTCGTCCTTCTCTTCATTAAACTAGACATATCCAATTCCAGCAGCCTTTCCTTATATGCTTTAGCTTCCAATCCCGTAATCATCTTTGTTGCTCTTCTCTGTGCTCTTTCTAGAGTCTCAACATCTTTTTTACATCGTGGTGACCAAAACTGGATGCAGTATTCCAAGTGTGGCCTTACCAAGGCATTGTAAAGTGGTATTAATACTTTACGTGATCTTGATTCTATCCCTCTGTTAATGCAGCCCAGCACTGTGTTGGCTTTTTTGGCAGCTGCAGCACATTGCTGGCTCATATTTAAGTGATTGTCCACTAAGACTCCAAGGTCCCTCTCACAGTTACTACTATTGAGCAAGGTACCCCCTATACTATACCTGTACATTTGGTTTTTCTTGCCTAAATGTAGAACCTTACTTTTTTCACCGTTGAATTTCATTTTGTTAGATAGTGCCCAGTGTTCAAGTCTGTCCAGATCCTCCTGTATCCTAAGCCTGTCTTCTGGAGTGTTGGCTATTCCTGCCAGCTTTTTTACATTTTAATATAACATATAAGCTGTACAATTCAGTTGAAAAACAAACTAAAATCTGGGGGGGGGGGATAAAAATAAAATAAAAATAATAAAAAAAACTTACAATTCAAAATTATCTCTACCTATTTAGCAAAGGGGAAAGGAGGTAAGCCAGCCTGCACCTGGATATTGTTTACACAACAGATGCTAGCTTCATGATATGCATGAACTGTAAACTGATGTAATCTTACTTGTACCTTCCCTGAAATTTGCCTAGAAGGGGCCTTCCCAGATTCTATGGGATGACACAACTGAAGGAGGGGAGAATTGCCTAAAATATGATTTGTTTTAAGACTAATTTATAAATTAATCTTAATTCTCTGCCCTGGTAGCACAGTGGTTAAAATGCAACATTACAGGCTAACTCTGCCCTCAACCCAAAGTTTGATCCTGACGGCTCAAGGTTGACTCAGCCTTCCATCCTTTTGAGGTCAGTAAAATGAGGACCCAGATTGTTGGGGGCAATATGCTGACATTGTAAACCGCCCAGAGAGTGCTGTAAAGCACTATGGGGCAGTATATAAATCTAAGTGCTATTGCTATTGCCTTAATCCACTTCATAAAACAGAAGTTATCCATCTCTCTCTTCCCTAACGTCCTCCACATCCATTGTTTATAAGACTGCCAGAAGACACTGATACCTGTAAAGGGAAGATCCCAAAAAAATTTGTTTCACGAATTTTATCTTCCCTTTATAATCAAGCCATAATCTTAAATTATTGATAATTTGCTCCCTTTAAGATTGATTTGGTTGATTTGCCTTTATGCACGTATCAACGTAGAAATCAATAGTGTGAACAAAATGTAGGTGGCATCCCACCTACCAACCTTTTACATTGATCAATATTCTTTCGATGGGAAAGTCTACAAAGTGCACATATGGGCACTTTACAGTCAAAAAAATTATATACTTGGGAATCTACTTAATAGCAAGATGTGCAACAATAAAAGAAGATAACTACCGTAAAACTATTAAAACACATAACACTAGACTTGGAAAAATGAAAAAACTTACAACTTTCAATGCTGGGGAGAATAGCAACAGTGAAGATGAATATTCTACCAAAAATACTCCTTTTGTTTCAAACAATACCTATAAAAACTTATTTGATGAACTAAACAAATCAATACTGAAATTTATTTGGCAAGGAAAATCAGCTAGAATAAAATTGAAAATGCTTCAAGAAGCGAAAGAAAATGGAGGATTTGGACTGCCAGGCTGGAATCTATACTACCAAGCAGCCATTCTAACATGGCTAAAAGAGTGGATAACTTTTAGAGATAGAAGATTACTATACCTAGAGGGACATGACCTACAACTTGGATGGCATGCCTCTCTATGGTACAGGAAAAATAAAACTCACAGATATTTTCAATATCACTACATAAGAAACGCACTTTTGCTAGAATGGGAAAAAATTAAAGCAAAAATCTATATGAAAATACCTGGATGGCTTTCAACAATGGAAGCATTTGTTCACCCAAACTTAATAAACTATGAGAAAATTGTGACTTATAAAGACATTTTGAATAAAGAGGGAAAATTAAAACATAGACAAGAATTAGAAGAACAGGGTATTGACCTATCATGGTGGGCATATCTGCAAATCCAAACGAGATATGAAAAAAATGTTAAAATATCTGGATTTTATAAAGAACAGATAGAATTTAATAAGACATTACTCACATCAGATGAAAAATAGATTAAGTATAAATATATGCTAAGTTTAAAGATGGAAAAAGAACAAGTTAAAGAAATAATGATAACATGGGCAAAGAATTTTGGACATAATATAGAACTAGAAAAATGGCAAAGCCTTTGGGAAAGAAATTCTAAAATAACAAAAGTGGTAGTGTACAAAGAAAATTTATATAAAATGTTCTATAGATGGCATTTAACACCCATGAGGTTAGCAAAAATGTTTAAAAATATATCAAGCAATTGCTGGAAATGTAAACAAAAACCAGGCACTTATTACCATCTTTGGTGGACATGCTCTAAAGCCAAAAGATTTTGGTTAAGAATACATACATGGTTAGAGAAAATGACAAAAAACATATAGAGTTTAAGCCAGAATTATTTTGTTAGGCATAATTGTAGGAAATTATGAGAAAGAGTGTGTATATTTAATTTTAATTGCAGCAAGAATTGTATTCTCTCAATATTGGAAAAATGAAGATCTACCAATGGAGGAAGTGTTAATTAAAAAATCTTAAGAGTGTGCAGAAATTGATAGATTGACATTGAAAATGTCAATAGTGTGAACAAAATCGTGTGAACAAAATGTAGGTGGCATCCCACCTACCAACCCTTTACATCAGGGGTCTTCAAACTTGGCCCTTTTGTGACTTGTGGACTTCAACTCCCAGAATTCCTCAGCCAGTGTCATTTGAAGACCACTTACATTGATCAGTATTCTTTCGATGAGAGAGTCTACAAAGCTGGTTCTATGAAAGCAGAGCTGATGACTCGAGCAAAAACCAGGGAACTTCTCTGGGAAAGGAGAGGTGGGAGATCACCCATATATGCTTCTGATAACTGCTCCTTGTTAGATCACAGGACAACAGCTTTTCATGGGCTTGAGCAGTGAGAGATCCCATCTTCACCCAGCTTGCTCTTAACTGTGGCTTGATACTTTTAAAAGACCCTTAATTTTTCAAGTCTCACTTTCTGGTCACTTATGGAAATTGCTTATTAACTGCATCTAACCTATTAAAGCCTTTTGGAAGGAAAAGTTTGAAAATGCCAGATCAGTATTCCTTTAATATTGTACAAAAGAAAAATAATAATTATATGCTTAAGAATATAAAGAAACTTAAATAAACAGCAAAAAGCTAAATAAGGTTTTGATCTTAGAAATACACTGAGACCAGGTAAAATTGGAATATGGAACTTTTACAATAAAATTTTGGAATTAATTATAAAGTACAAACAGCTTCTAGTGGTAAATAGTTTCTGTTTTGGATTTCATAAGATACAACATAGAGAAGCAATTTCAAGATTCCAAAAACTGGACACTAGAGGGAACTATAGATTTTAGGTAGAAGAAACACATGCAGCCCTGAAAGATGGTTAATACAGTAAAAATACTGAAGGAGATTTGAACAATAAAATAATAACCT